CGTCAACAAAACCAACGTCCCCGACCAGGGCAGCCAGCCTATACATCTGCTAGTATGCGGGGCTCTCACCAGAACATGAACCAGATTCCTCCTCGTAACCAGGGACTTCTCAGCACTCGTTTGCAGATGAACCACCAGCAGCACAAGCAGCAAGGTGCTGTGCCCTATAACGGTGTTCCTCAACCGATACCAGCTCAGGACATGCGCATCCCACCTACTGGTCCTTCGCAGCCTTCGAGCGGTGCCCAGACACCTTCTTCCAGTGTATCTACGAGGTTCAACGTCCGCGCTCATGAGTTCAAGCCGAACCCGGCTGCCAGTACCTTCCAGCCTGGCGGAACTCCCAGTGCAACCTCTAGCCCTCGGCCGAACTCTTCAAGACAAGAAGTACGCAAGCCTCCTGTCACAAACTTCTTCACTGGCCAACGGCCCACTGTGAAAGTGCTGGATGGACCGACAACCTTCAATGCCATCGGACGCCTCGAGAAGGAAGCCCAATCGAGTGATAAGCCCCATCACTCCGATATTGCGCCTCCGTATAAGACACCTCCTACCTGGGACTTCCCTTCTTCGAATACACATAAGGGATACGAGCAGCTGTTCGACCATGCCCCTCCGCCCGCACCGTTGTCGGTACCACAACACGTTATGACCAATGGCCCTATGCCTCATCAGCATCAATTACCACCTCATCTTCAGGGCGCCCAAGGTATGGCACAAGGGCCGGCAGCTCAACACACGCCTCGCGGACCACCAATACAGCCGCATCTTGGCCAGGACCAGCATCATTTCGGGGGTCAACACATGCAGTATTCGCATTCGACGTCATCGGTTCAACCTTCACCACGCCCTATGGCGCCATACATGTATGGCGCGCAGCCACAACCGATGCCAGGCTATCCTCAGCAAGTCCCACAGTATGGTATGAGTCCCGGCATGCAGCACGCCACCATGCGGAACTCACAAGGCGGCCAGTTCATGAATGGCCCAGGGCCGGCGATGGGTGGCCAAATGATGACACAACAGCCGTCAAACGGACCTTTCATGGGAATGCCTGGCAATCCGCAGATGCAGATGTACTCTCCCGCTCCCGCTCCTGCGTACCCCCAATACGGTGCTCACATGCCTGGTCCTGGCGCTAGCGGATTTCCTAGCCCTAGGCCGGGTGCGCCAATGATGAGCCATCAAGGATCACAACAAGGACACCACCAACAACCGCCCATGATGTATATGCAACCTGGTGCACCAGCTCCTCAGATGTACCAAATGCAGCCAGCAAACAGTAGGTAGCACGTCAGTGACTGATCCGACATGACTAACATCATTCCAGTGACTCCAATGCGAGGACCTTTCCCACAGCCATACCAGGGCGGCCACTATGGCTCACCGCAGCAGCATCACCAGTTTCCCCAGCAACATCGTGGTACACCCAGTGGAAGCTACTCGCAGCCTATGATGCAACAGCACTCGACGGGTCCCCAGGCTCCGCCCACTGGTCCCGCTAACCATGCACCGGACGGCAGCAACGAACCTAAATGAGAGCCTTCAAAGTAAGCTGGCCGCAGATGAGCGGTGTCCGCAGCGGCCTGCTTCCTAAGTTTCGCGACATGCTCTCCGTGTCTGTTTACCAGATTTTGCTATGCGCTTAGCGTGGATGTGTTGATTAGTCACCATGATGAGTGGCTTGAGGCATAGCGACAGGCGTTGGCAGGGCATGATAGGTGCATAAGGGATTACGGTATGGACCATTGAGTCATGGACATGCAAGATACGACAAGGGAGGGAAGGAGCTGCCACGTTCGCTACGCTACACGCGATCGCAACGTGCCACGGAGGAGCAAGTCATGAGAATTGCTTTGGCGTTCTCCGACCACGAGCAAGCGTTGAAGGGGGCAAGTGGAAAACTACAAGCAAGAAGAGCACGTTCATGTGAGCGCATGCTTCTCTACCACTATCAATACTATCAAGTTCAAAATCCACGTTCATGTTCTCGTGCCAGTGAAGACCCACCCCTGCTTATTATGCAGGTGACATGGATCACCAGGCACAGATCTGACCCACCTGCTAGCGTGCAGCCAGCATTCCGCGCTCCCGCAGCCATTCCGACACTACCCCAGAAGACAGCTACTGCCAGCTTCCCCTTCCGTACACGCTTCTTATGTCTGTGTATACTGTATGCCGACTTCAGATGAAGACTTGGAACTACACAGCATGAGTGACGCTGCCGCAGAGCCCCTGATTTCCAACGACCGCTACGATGAAGACGACAATGAGAGTATAGGAGAGGATGAGGTCGACGAGAGTGCACTCTTATCTCCAGGGCTATTTATATGGTGTCTGACTATATGTGCTGGGGTTTCTGGGCTGCTGTTTGGATATGAGTATGTATCCATGCATGGTTGCGATTCTTTGTGCCATGTTTCAGGGCATCTACACCGGTGGAAGCAAACACATACTGACAAGGTCGCAGCACTGGTGTAATCTCCTCCACGCTCATATCTATAAATACCGACCTCTCCTCCCGACCTCTTACCACCCTCGACAAGAGCTTGATCACGTCTTGCACCTCGTTCTTTGCGCTTCTGGCGTCGCCTTTAACGGGTATTCTCGCTGATACATACGGTCGTAAAACTGTGATCCTCGTCGCGGATATACTCTTCATACTTGGTGCACTGTTGCAGGCATGGACAAGCACTGTTGGAGGTATGATCGCAGGTCGGTCCATCGTCGGCGCGGCAGTCGGAAGCGCGTCGTTCGTTGTACCTTTGTATATTTCTGAGCTGAGTCCCAGTCCTTTCAGGGGGCGACTGGTAGTGGTGAGCAGTCTTTTCATTACTGGAGGTCAGGTTGTCGCTTATATCGTTGGGTGGCTTTTCTCGGAGAAACTGCATGGCTGGAGATGGATGGTTGGTCTGGGGGCCTTACCAGCTGCCATACAATTCGTCATGCTGTTCCTCCTCCCTGAGACACCGCGATATCTTGTCAAGGCTGGACAAATTCAACAAGCGAGGAAGGTGCTGGGCAGAGTGTACAAAACCGACGAAAATGGGACAAAGTTGGTCAATGCCGTACTGAGGCGTGTGGAGAAGGAGATTGAAGAGGAAGAGGATGCTGCGGGATTGCGAGGTACTCATGATATGGCTAAGAGTGGTTGGAGAGCCAAAATGGACAGGATTCAGGACAACTTCTCCCAGCTGGTTGCGATTGGGGGCAATCGTAGAGCGCTGATTATCGCATGTATGTTACAGGCCTTTCAGCAACTATGTGGATTTGTAAGTCTCTTCTTCTCGAGTTCTCTAACGGTGTACATGTGTACCCTCGCCAACACATCATTCTTTGATGACTGCTAACATGGCATCAGAACTCCTTAATGTACTTCTCCGCCACAATCTTCCGGCTCGTCGGTTTCGAATCCCCAACGCTCACCTCGCTCTCCATCGCCATAACAAATTTTCTCTTCACACTGGTGGCATTCCATTATATCGACCGCATTGGGCGCCGTCGTATCCTCCTCTGGTCCATACCCATTATGATCATCGGTCTTGCCCTCTGCGCCATCGCATTTCTCTTTATCAACCTTCCCACTGAAGAAGCGTCTGCCACGGCCATTGCTGGAAACAACAAGATTTGGCCTCTCATTATCCTTTTTTCAATGATAACCTACGTCGCTGGCTATGCTATAGGTATGGGAAATGTCCCCTGGCAGCAGTCAGAGCTTTTCCCTCTCTCGGTTCGATCTTTGGGTTCTGCAATGTCTACGGCTACAAACTGGGGATCCAACACTTTTATCGGGATCACGTTTCTGCCCATGATGAACGTCTTCACTCCAGTCGGCACATTCGCCCTCTATGCAGGGGTTTGTATGATTGCTGAAATTGTGATTTGGAGGATTTATCCTGAAACAGCGGGGCTCGGGTTGGAGGATGTGGGTGGGCTGTTGAAGGATGGGTTTGGGGTTGGAAATAGTGTGAGGAAATTCAGGGAGAGGAACAAGAAAATGTGATGGGCAAGAGCACTTTAGAGGTACGTACATGAGAAGAGGGTGTGTGTGTATGGGAATAGAAGCGGATGTGATGTCCAAGTTGTCGATGAGATTTGAACATGACAACTGTTCGTGTGAATGATAAGAGCTGACATCTGAGCATAAATACCACTCTTTCCACTTCGCACTTTCCCCCCTCGTTCTTTAGACTCGTAGCCACACCCACGCATCTACATAATCAACTTCATCACATCGACGAACTCATAATCATGAAATCCACGACCCTTCTAGCCACGACCCTCAGCGCTCTAGTAGCGTCCGTTCCAGTCCATGTTTCTTCCTCACTTCTTCCCCTTCCTTCAACTCCTGTATTCAGATCTGGCATGATGTTAGATAACATGCCTCCCGATAACAACCTCCCAGGCGGCGGTATCGGCTCTTCGTCTCCTAACGCCATACACGATAAGCGTGCCCTCGTAAAGGAGGTTTCAGATACACTCGACTCTTCTACATACTACGACGCAGCTGCTGAGAAAGAAGCAGAAGAGTTGGCTCTCGTGTTGGATGCTGCAAGTGAGAATGTAGCGGAGATTGAAGGTGCTGACGACGATGTCAAGGTGAACAGGTGACACACAAGTCGAGGAAGGTGGAACAGAGGAGGATGCAAGATAAACACTCCAGCTACATGTGGAGAATGCCAAGAAAGGTGGAAGATGTACCAGGCATGCTTGTGTGAGGAGAAAGGCCTGGACAGGTATGTGCAGGGTGAGCGTCAGAACTATGTAAGCGAAAGTCTCTGCAAATGAAAAGTGAGGACACTAACATGTCAAAGGGAGGTTCGTGCGAATAAAGAGTGCCTAGCTTAGGATAGGTCAGACTACGACAAACATCCTTTCCAGTAGCTGTGCTTGAATTGGTGTACCCTGAAGGGAGCAGCATGGTTTATCTCAGTAATCTCTTGCCAGAACTCACTCACTGTGTATGCGTTTAGCGTATCGTGGGTATAGTAGTTATCTCAATCCACTATATGGTATTCTTGGATGTAAATTTTGGTTTTCAGATTCTTGACCTCATTGTTAGACGTGTTCTACACATTTCGCTTCTTGCGTTGATGCGAGACGAGAAGCTACCACATTCGCCGTAAACACCAGATGTCATTAACTCATTACCCTTTCCATCCCATGCCAGAACGCCAACGCTGATGCAAATGCCGGAAACCCTTTGTCCATCGTTTCCCAGACGCTATCAATGACTGCAGATATCGTCCTATGTCCATTGATGGTGCGTCGAGAGTGAAGCTCTAGTTGCCAACGGCCGTGTCGTTGAGCGCAACACACACAGCACCACGATGATGTCCGTTGTACTGCCGAATGATGCTCTGGCTACCAAGTTCCCATAGCCTCGCGTAATGATCTGAGCAGCTGGTGACTAGGTAGGCGCTGTCCGCTGAGAAGGCGCAGTCCCATACCCAGCGCTGATGACCGTGTAGTGTAGTCTCCAACGGGAAGGCAGCAGGATCGCGCTCGCTAGCTGATGGCAAGTTGTCGTTGGGCGTGACGTTGTGAGGAGCAGTAGGATCAACAGACCATATGCGTGCGGTGTGGTCGGCGGAACAGGTGGCTAGGTGACGGACGTCTGGGGAAAGAAGGACACGGGTGATGTAGGTAGTATGTGCGACAAACTTGCAGATGGGGAGGATGGAGGTGGTATCGCTACGCTGTATCATGCGCCAGACGTAGACGTTGCCCTGAAAACTCGGTGTTAGCAGACATTGGTAAGACTACTATCTGGCAAGACTTACGGCGTTGTTGCCCGCACACACCATGCTGCCATCACTAGCAACCGTAACACTAGCCACGCTCACATCGTCCTCAGGGATGAGCTGGTGAGAACACTTATTCTCTCCCAAGTCCCAGATCCTTACGTTGCCACCACGGTCGCAGCTGATGAGTTCGCCCTGGTTTGGATGGATAACCACATCGTTGACGGGAACACCGTGGGTGTAGTTACGCTGGACGTTGCCTGATCGCGTATCCCAGATCTTGACTGTGCCGTCTTCGGACGAGGTGACGAGCCACTTTGACTCGCAGTGGAAGGCGACACCAGTGATATTTGACGTGTGGCCATCGAAGGTGAGGATCGCGTTCGGATTGGTTGACTTGATATCGTAAAGCTTGACCGTGTGGTGGCCAGCGGCGGCGAGATATCGCTTGTCAGGCGATATGCATAGACGGTTGACTTGGGAGTCTGGGTGCGGGATAGTTCGGGAGCATATACCAGAGAGTGCTTCCCAGAATCTGGAGCCCTAGGTGTCAGCACGCGCTACCACCAATTGAGGGTGAGAAGTATGCGAACCTGATCGTGTGGTCGTAGCCGGCTGCGATTGTATGTTAGCTGTTTGCCTGTCAAGTGTGGGGTAGGCAGCTCCACGTACCAGTGCACAGAATGACCGACATCTTGATTATAGGGTGTCTTTCTTAGTGCGAATCAGGAGTGAACTTTTGTATATGTCAAAGACTCTTTTAGTACAATTAATGCGACGATGTTAGTAGGCGCGAGAAATCTGGACCATGACGCGTGCGAGGTTGCGATCACAATTGAAAAAGCGTGTCGCGTTGAGGAGTTGGAGTTGGTCTTGTTCGGGAGTGCTTGGACCACTCTCAGCCCTACGGCGGTCAGCCTATAGCGGCCTAGTGCTATGTAAGCTCCTCATTGGCCAACGAGCACGAAGAGGGTGACGGTGAGCGTGACACCTGCCGACGCGTTAAATCTCATGAGTGGTGGCCAGAAGAAGTGGAAAGCATTTGATACTGAGAATTATTAGAAGGTGTAACATGCTGGCGGAAGCCTTGAGTTATCCCCACGCGCCCCTGATACTCAAACAGAAGACTTACCAAGAGCTGTTCTGCTTTGTAGAAGCTGACTCTATAAGCATCCGCTGAATGCTAAGTTGACAAACGAAAAAGATAGATAGTAACATACATGTCTAGCCATTTCATTAAACTTTATTTATCTAGAACAAGCTCCTTGGTATATACGGGAGAAGTCTCCGGAGCGCAATGCCTCGGCAGGGAAGAGGGACATGGGCCATGACGAAGCTCTAATGGCCTACAGTTTGCTAGCAGTATGCATAAGCGGGTAACTCTTCGGCCCACTTTCCAGTGAATCTTTTGTGATCTCCCCAATGTTCCTGAACCCTCCAACACTCATCAGAATATCGAGGTCAGCCAGTAGCCCGCGCATAACATGGTTTACTCCCGTCTCGCCCATGATTGAGAGACCCCAGATCCACAACCGGCCGACGAATACAAACTTTGCACCCAGAGCAAGCGCTTTAAAGACGTCAGATGCGGAGCGGACGCCCGAGTCGAACATGATGTATATCTTGTCACCGACAGCTAGAGGCTTATTAGTAATGAACGATCAAGCGAGAAGCAGACATGGAACATACCATCGACAATCTTTTCAAGTGAATCAAGACTGGCAACCGCGCCATCAACTTGCCTTCCTGCATGGTTGCTGACTACGATGCCGTCAAAACCCAGATCAGCAGCCTTCTTTGCATCTTCCACGCTCTGGATACCCTTCAGAGAGAATGGCTTGCCCCCGCTGAGCTCTTTCCACAACTTCATCGCCCATTCAGCCTTTTCCCAGGTGTGCGCACGTCCGTGCCATACATTGTCTATCCACAGCGCACCAGCTTCGTTGGGCTGTGTCTTGGGATCAATGCCTTTTTCCTTCAGCCTCTTTTGGAAGACAGGGTCAGTCAATCCCAGGTCTGCACCGATTCCATGGTAGAACGCATAGTTTGAATTTGCGACATCGTCATGTCGCCATCCCAGCTGCCAAGTGTCAAGTGTCAGGATGCAAGCTGTAAAGCCGCTGTCCACGGCACGTTGAAGAAGCGAGCGAGTGAGCTCGTCATCGTGCGGCATGTAGAGTTGGAAGAATCTCACACCCTTCTCTCCACCACCAGCAGCGGTTCCAATATCTCCCCGACCTTTTTTCACACCCTCATCGTTGGCCTGGCCAACATCTTCTATGCTTTGTGACCCCGCGGTCGAGAGACAGTATGGTAGTCCCAACGCGCCGGCAGCTCTTGCCACAGGGAGCTCGCCTTGTGGATTGTAAATTTTGTTGATGCCAACAGGGGCAAATCCAATCGGCGCAGGAACCTTATGTCCAAAGATCTCCGTCGCAGTGTCGCGCTGGTTGGTGTCTACTAGCATACGCGGGATGATTCGATGTCGGTAGAATGCTTGTCTGTTTGTGGTATGGGTGTGCGACTGACCAGCATTGGAAGAGGCTGCAGAAGTGAAGATGCGAAGTTAGTGTAGGTCTCATATGCATTCCTTATAGTGACGACTTACCATAAAACCAGCCACCCTGGCTGAGTTTCTCCTTCGCTAATTCTTCGAGTTTACCAGGCTCTGTTCTGCACTTTAGCCATGTGTAATGAAAGTTCGCACCAAATACGTATCATACTCACCAGTATTGAACAATGGCACTTCGCCCTCGTTGGATTTCCAGAAGTTCTCCCGTTGGTACAGCGCATACTGTGGTGTAGATCGAACCTTCTGGTTAGGATTTACAGGGTCCATGATGCCAACTGTGTCAGTCAGGCGCAACCTCGGAGTAATTACTTGGAGAGAACTGGGGGGCTGTATACTAAAGGAAAGCGCTGATAGTTTTTATATAGGAAAAGAAGCATTCAACTCGCTGTTAGCCAAATACCACCGGTACCCTCGGATCCACGCCATAATTGTGACGCGTGCACGACCGATGCAAGCTATGACGAAAGGTGATGATGCTCGGGAATGGACCCTGAACACTAACCACTATCTCCGGCCTCGTTTACGGTAATGCAGACGGTAGTTAAACACAGCAGACAAAATGATTGAAACAGAGGCTCCACTGTCGATCGACATAGTTGATCATGTGTTACCTTTCCCGAAACTGAAGGTTGACGTGTAGTCGCTGACGCGAGAGTATCAAGATGACATGTCAAGACAAGGCGCGAGTCGAAGATCGCCCGAGGAGCGGGAGAGTGGGGCACATAGAAAGCTTGTTTGCATACATAGGCATGCATTTGCGTGAGAAGCAGCACCCATAAGGAGGCTGGGATTCGACAGAGTACGCGATCTCAGGGCGAGGCTGGTACATATGACGTCACGAAGCAGCCGCACGCTCCCCAGACCAACGTTGGAAACACAGTTGAACAGGTCACAATAAACGCCCCTCTTGATAGGACCACTGTATCGTGAACAAAGTGATAGCTTATAGAGTAGGCGAAGATCGAATCCGCCAGGTATCATTTCGTGATTCTGCCCGCTTGCGATCCATCAGGCTTGTTCCATGACCCGTTTGATCCTGCAGGAAACCAAGACATCCATCATCGCTTGCAAAACATCCATAAGAGAGACATTGCATATCATCATGCATCGAATTTAACCCCTTCGAGCCAAACGTTATTAGTCGCGACCAAATCAAGTGAGGACAAGCTATTTCTCGCTCGTCTTGATTGTGCTTGCCTCAGGCTTCTTGTCAGCCTGGGCCGCTTCAAGGGCGTCGGACTTCTCCGTCTGTACAGACGATGGTGACTCGGTCACTTGAACCTTGCTCTCGTGCTGAGGTCCAGGGGTTCCCTCACGGTCTTGACGGGACTTGTCGTTGGCTTCCTGGTTGTACTTGTTGACTTGCGAATCCAGATCCTTGTCTTCGTCCTCATTGTCGAACATCTCGCCGTCATGGTCTCCAGTCGAAACTTCGGTACCGTCGCCGAGAAGGATGATGCGGCCGCCGTTGCCGTTGTTCGGTCGGAATCGACTGTCCAAATCCATGTCGATATCATCAGGAGAATCGTCAATGCGATGATGAACGCCGGGACCGCGGAACTCGGCTACACGATTGTATTAGAACTGAACTACTCGCCCTCTGAGGCAGATTTGGCTGGATCTTCTGACTTGCCGTACTCTGGCGGCGCACATGGACCCTCTCCATTCGCAACCCGCTTTGCGATGTCCTCGTACCACTGCTCCTTTGTCCTTCCCTGTAGGAGACCAATGACAATCATCGTCATGTTGTCACAGCCAACACCTCCCGTGTCGCTGTTCGAAGCCAAGCAGTTGTCCATCATGTTCTCGCAGATAGAGGCAAGATCCTGCTTTGCGACAATCCCGCGCCTAACGAACTCGACGACGGCTTGAGAAGACTGACAATCCCAGATACCTGTAACTAGTCAGTGACAGCGCGGAGTTGTAGCGAATCGAATAACCTTACCATCGCAGGCGACGATCAAGAACTCGTCGTCTTGGTTGATGTCATGTATCTCAACATCCGGGAAGGCAGTGACGATCTGCTGTTCGGGAGGAAGGTCGGCGCTTTTCTTGAACTCGAAGTCACCGATTGCGCGTGATAGAGCCAGGTTGCCGTTGACGCGGCCGAAGTCAACAAAACCACCCGCTGCTTGGATACGTGCTTTCTCGGCTAGTACATGTCAGTGCTGTTTTTGGCAGTGGGGTCATGTGTCTTACCCTCGTTCTGCGGCTTGTGGTCGAAAGAGAGCGGCTTTGCCCTGCCCTTGACACCTAGGACGGTACGCGAGTCACCTGCATTGGCCTGTTTCCGTAAGCGTCCGTCATGGAGTATTGTAGGGGGTCAACGTACAACGTAGATTTTGTCTTTTGACAAGACACCGACCGATGCAGTGCAGCCAGAAACCTCCTCTTCGTACTTGGGGTCTGTTCGCGTGAGTCAGCAACTTGTCGAGGAGCGGGTGTAAGGGCTTCAAAGGGCTCACCACTCAATATCGCGCGGTCTGTGGCGAGGAAACCGTCTTGTAGAGCCTTCTTGATGTCTCCCTCCTTGAAAGCCTCTTGCTTCGCGACAATCTGATGTAGCTGTTCGCCGGCATACAGCGCCACCTTGTCACCGCCGTGTCCGTCGTATACGCCGAAGAAGGCGAGTCGCTTATCGTTGCCTGTGGGCTTGCCTTCTTCACCGGCAAAGTCTAGTACGGTGGCATGCGCGTCCTCCATGCTGATCCGCCAGCCCTGCATCGACGACACACCGTAGATGAGTGACTCGCCATCGCCGTTTTCGGATTTCTATACGAGTAATGTGTCAGCATGGCAGCCTTTGAGCAGCTAAACGGCATGGCCTCGCAGGACAGAGCAGGCGACGGTTGCCATGGAGAGGATGCAAGTAGCGCAGGTGCGGGGGCGGGGGCCAGCATTGGGAGGCAATTACCTTGTCGACGACAGGTTCTGAGAGTGTCTGACCCATCTTGTCCGGTACCTAGGAGGACCTGTGGGAGAGGAGGAGAGGAAGTCTGAGGCTGATCGCGAGTCTCCCTAGGGGCATAGAATTCCAAACTGCGATGTTGGTGTGTGGGGGGTATTACAGATTTGGACAGGCGCAGGGGCGGCTGTGTAGAGGGCCAGTCGCGTTTGTAAGTATGGTGTAGGTCCTAGGGAAGAAGACAGAGGAAGAGAATTGCGTGCTCTAGCTCGCGGGGGTAAACAGGCCGATGGTGTTGTAGGCAAAGAGTGACGCTGCTCTACCTGTCAGGTTCAAGGCCCGTGCTGCTTGCTAGTGGGTTGTGGCTAGGTCGAGGCCAGAAGCGACCTGATGACGGCACGCATTTTCTGCAGTCCCGTTTCCCCCACCAGCTCCTGTCTCCGAAATCTCCGTTGATTCATGGTTTCCTGCTGCGAAGACGCCCTCGGCCTACCCAGCGAGCCCCTTGTCGTGCACCGAGTGAGGCGGTGCAATGCCATGCCAAGGCAGCAGCCGCCAGCATGCTGCTTTCCTTCTGCACGAGCTCGCGTGCCACGCACAAACGAGAAGAGCGAGCACCCCCTTATCGTCTCAGCCTCTTCACGGGAGCCGCCTGCCCTCAATGGCGCAGCCTGGCCCATCACTGCAACCTGACAAAGACTAAAGCACCTGCCCAGCCGTGTTTCGGCTGACAATGCAGTACGACAAATCAGTACTGCCTGAAGAGATTCGCATATAAACGCGTCTATCTTGTTGCTTTACAATATTGATGGTCCGTACAGATGGCTGCATTGATGACTTGACGTACGAGACACCTCGGCTGAGTGGACTGAACATACCCCATATCTCTCACCTCAAAAGCCCCATGTTTGAACTCGTCTAGAGACATCCATATCCAGCTTCCGTATTACTTCCGAAGTCATGTTGCAGCCATACGATCCCGGACACACCGTGTCTTCTTCTGATGCTAACCGGTGACGCGCACTAATGCCCTCTTGCGGTAAGGCATGGTTAGCGGAATTGCATGTCGCGAACTTCACTCCTCATCTGCTCGGGATTCTGGCTTCGGCACTTTCATGGGATTATCTATCAGAAGCGCGCATGAGCCCTCGGAAGGCTATGGTATGGTGGCCAGTGCGAGCCCCAGACCAACGCGTGTTACCGTTTTGGCCGTGGACCTCGGCTCGAAGCTCTTAGTGCATCTGACGATCCGACAACCTACTTAATCATCATTCTAAACAACCCTCAATCTCCTCCATCATCCCAATCATCAATTTGCTATCACAATGAAGCCAACACCAGACTGGGTCAAGCAGCTGAAGCCTTCAGGCGTTCAAGGCCATGAATTGCTCAAGGCTGAACGCGCCAACTCCAATGTCCCCGTCCAAGAGCTAGAAGTGCTTCTACACACTCAAGATGTCATCGACAGAAGGAATAAGATTCTTGACATACTCAAATCCGAGAAAGTCTTCGATAAATCACAGAACTACTTCATGGGGAGGATCGATAGGTTCGAACGCGCGCTTGCAAGGGAGAAGAGGTTGAGGATATTAAAGAAGCAACACAACTGGTCCTTCGAGGAGTTCCGGGCTGCCACAGAGCTCGTTGGAGAACCAGGACCATACGGACTTCACGACAGCATGTTCAAGGTACCCGTCACTGCCCACCTCCACATAGCTTTTACTAATGATTCAGGTTACACTCGAGGGCCAGGGTACACCGGAACAACAAGAGAAGTGGCTTACCAAAGCCAACGACTACAAGATCATCGGATGCTATGCCCAAACTGAGCTTGGCCATGGTTCAAATGTTCGTGGACTTGAAACAACAGCAACGTGGAACAAGGACGACAAGACCTTCACCATCCACTCGCCACACTTGACCGCCAGTAAATGGTGGATCGGATCCCTGGGCAGGACAGCCAACCATGCTGTCGTCATGGCTCAGCTCGTCATTGATGGCAAGTCCTACGGACCAGCGCCTTTCTGCGTTCAAATCCGTGATCTGAAGACACATGAGCCTCTTGAAAACATTCACATCGGAGATATTGGTCCTAAATTTGGTTACAACACCATGGACAACGGTTTCCTCCTGTTCAACCACGTCAAGGTTCCGCATATCAGTATGTTGGCCAAGTACACATTTGTTGACCCCAACACAAACAAATTCGGTCGCCGTGGTTCTCCATCTCTTGTCTACGGTACCTTGACTTGGGTCCGATCGACCATTGTTATGCAAGCCGGCAGTGTGCTTGCTCGAGGTGTCACCATCGCAACCCGTTACTGCGCTGTGCGTCGTCAATTCCAGGATCGAGATGCTCCTGCTGGTGTGGATGAGACCCCTGTTCTCAACTACACCATGGTGCAAATCCGGCTGCTCCCTCTTCTCGCTGCCACTTTTGCACTCCATTTCACCGGAAAGTCGATGATGGACATGTACCAGGAGAACCAGAAGAAAATTGCTCAGGGTAATGCCACCAACGCACCAAGCAAGCGCGGCGCTGGGCCAGAGGAAGTCCAGTCCGGCAGTGACATGTTGGCAGATTTGCACGCTTCCTCGTGTGCGTTGAAGTCTCTCAGCAGTTCGATCGCAGCAGAGGGTCTGGAGGTCTGCCGAAGAGCTTGCGGTGGTCATGGCTACTCGAGCTTCAGCGGTATCGGACCCTGGTACTCTGACTATCTCCCTACTACAACATGGGAGGGAGATAATTACATGCTGACCCAGCAAGTTGCACGATACGTAAGTTTGATAGCCCAACAAACTATATTTTATGCTTACTAACACTTGCTGTAGATGCTCAAGTCAGCCCGCTCCGTACTCAAGGGCGACAAGCCAACAAACGATACCACCCAGATTCTATCGGAGTTCTACTCGCGTCGTGAAATTGGCTGCGCATTTGACGTAATTGGCTCTGACAGTGATCTCGTCGCCGCCTTCGCCTGGCGCGTATCGTTCCTCACTTTCGAGGCCAGCAAGCACCGCGATGAGCAGAAGAAGCCTTGGAACGACCTACTCGTTGACTTCTACCGCCTCAGCAAGGCCCATGCGCAGTACATGGTTGTGAAGAACAATCTTTCCGCGCTCAAGAACATCGAAAAGGAGGGCAAGGTCGACAAGGCCATCCTTGACGTGCTGATGAAGTTGTTCCGCCTCTTTGCTCTACATACACTTGAGCAGGAAGGTTCCGAGTTCTATGCTTCCGGTGCGTGCAGCAAGCACCAAATTTCGCTTGCAAGGACCAATACCGTCATGAACTTGCTCAAGGAAATCCGACCACACGCTGTCAGGCTCGTGGACGCTTGGGGCTTTGACGACTGGGTCCTTGACAGTAGTCTCGGTCGCGCTGACGGAAAGGTTTATGAAGACATGTTCTACAGAGCGAGCGAACTCAACCCGCTCAACAACTACACGGTGGACCCATACCCAGATAGCGATGTTTTGTTCAAGCGTATCGAGAAGAGCAAGTTATAGGAAAGAGCATCTTTTTATAAACATGTAATTGTATTTGAGCAGAATGATAGAGGGGAGACTTAGACACAGAGTCTGTATAACTACCAAATTTTGTTCTATTGCAATAGAGATGAATTCTTGTGCAGGTCACTACTTGGGTATGTAGCCCACGGGTAATTTGATCCGAGAAAGTGGGGGCGTCGGTACACTGCATATGGCGCCTGCCCTCGATAGTCGACTTAGCAACCGCATATCAGTACATCCTTTCAAGAGGACAGCCCCTTCCTCCAGACCTAAGCGGATCGTCGAATTTTCTCTGCTCCCTGTTCCGTCTTCAGATAACCCTAGTAACTTTAAACCGCCCTTGTCTATACCAACATGCGTTCCTCATCCCCCACTACAAGCGCTGGCGTCCTTCTGGCCTTTCTCCAACCTATCTCAACCGAAAGTGACGAAGCATCGGCGAACGAAAAAATCGATCTCCTGCCCACGGCCATAACAGCCAACGTACTAGGTATCAAGACCGCCAGGCAGTACAGAGCGGCAAATATAGAATACAAAAAGCGGCACCTTGTCATATGCGAGACAGAAGATTTGGCACGTGCCAACGTGAAGCAGATGCTGAAATTCCTGGAAGGAGAGAATATAGGTGGGAAGTGGGATATCAGGGCATATAGGGAGGTCGAGATCTTCGATCTGGAGAAGAGCAGTAGTACGTCCTTTCTGTGTCATAGCCGGCCGGAAGATGAAGGAACTGTGAAGTATTGCCCTTTGCTGACTGTACGCATAGAAGCTGCGGAGACAATCATGGTAGCGCTTATGCAACCATCACCTGCCGGTGCCGCAGATTTAGACGCTTGGTATCGTGAAGAGCATAACCAACAGATGTCTGAGCAACCAAGCTGGCTAAGAACATGCCGGTATTCACTCGTATCACAACAAACCAGTACTTCCGGTGGAAGCGAAGGGTTCCAAGAGCTATCCTTCCTAGCTATCCATGAGTTCGGAGAGGGAGAACAGTTAGGCGATTCAGTCAAAGCGCTGGAGCCAATCAGCGAATGGACGATGAAGGTCATGAAAGATGCGGTGGGGATTGACGCGGCGATTTATCGGAGAACATGAATTGGTGGAAGGGTCTACCGTGAGATTTGTGGCAGTAGTCAGATTGATCCATAGTAAATCCACTGTTTACGAAAGCTTCCATCTTGTATTGCCGGAGTTTACGAGACTGCGAAAAACATGCACGGCCTCTATGCCGACCTTTGTAAGGTATAGTTGGAGATGCTCATGACGCCTGTATGTGTGCTTGCATTTGCGGGAAGCTCGTTGAATTTGGCTGGCAAAGACACCCGTAGTCTGCCCAAAAACGAACATGCTTGTGGATTTTGTTGCAAAGCTCAGTGGAAAGACAGAGAAGTGAAGAGTTTCCCTGATCTAATTGCGCCCTATCAGCAAGTCAGCTCATATCTGCGAAAACCATGGTCTTGTCCTTACTTGCACCGGCATAGTTGCTCCGGATTGCATCTTTATTAACTTATTTGAGCAAGAACCGTGGTCGTAGAGTGACACGCGCATCTTGTTTCGGTGAAAATGTGGAGGTTTAGATTTTGGCATCAGCTTTGAGTGAACTGAAGCTGGATGAAGGCGATGGGCGACCGTTATTGTTCAGGGTCCGGTGATATGTTCGACCATGCAGAAGAGTCTACATCGTCCTAGTAAAAATGACCTCAAGATCACCATACCCAAAATACAGTCGCAATCCTCTCACAGCCATATCAGGGCTCACCATAAGTAGCCCAAATATAGAAGTCTGTTGGATATGCACGCGTTGTAAAGAGGGCAACAGATGCCTATAGTTAGTGCTGGGTGGCGCACCTTGTTGGAGTCCTATAGCTAATCTTTTTGCAAGCCTTGGTTCTACTTTGATTGCTCTGATTTCACGGCAGATCTCTGGTCCGAGTTCGTATGCGGCCGCCATACAGTTATAGTAAAGCGTCAAGTCAAATACAACCAAATCGTTGAAACTGGGCGTCGCTTCTCCTCTGATGTGTCTACACGTCATCAGAAGAGAAACAACTTGCTGGTATCTCGGCACTCCGTGGTATTTAGGGAGATACGAGCCTCCAAGCGGATCAGTGGACTTCGGTTGCACATGTATAATCTCGTTGGCGAAGACGTGTTGGTAGATCATAAGACGAAGCTCGGCCGGCAAACGGAAGAACGGTGGCGTATGAGAATCATCTTGTTCACTTTCTGATGGTTAGACTAGTTCTCCTCGGAAATCTACACGGCAAACGTACTCTGTACTGATCTGATGATGGCCTTGTGTGGCGAGTTCCAAGCGACCCAAACTCTCAGCGACTTTATCGTCCATAGTGTCTTAATTATGGTAGGAGGAATTATTGTCTTTTATTTTTGAGGTAGATTCGTGGTAGTGGAGATTAAGGTATGCACTATGTAATGGAAGTTCGGATGACGGAAGGTGATGAGGGGATTCGGGGATAGATTAGCGCAATGTGGTATCTCCGGCGGCGCGTCCTAGATTTTCGGCGCGTCCTAACCTTCAACATCATTTTCTAACGTGAACCGCAACGCTAACTGCCACGCACTTTGTTTCGACTATCGCATGTGTCCGGTCGTTCGTAATGGGAAAGCCAAAGCGCACGAGCGAGGTATTTGCATCATCGGCCGAGAAAGATGCCAATATCACAACGGTGACTGCGACTCCGCCATACTCGAGCGAGGGACCTACACTTCCCATCATCGGGGTACTAGATGACGCGTTGAAAGCCGACGGAGCCAAAGTCGCAGGCAACAAGCGGAAAGCGCAAGAAAGTGTCAATGGTATAGCGCCCAAGAAACAATCGCAGCCACCATCTCCGCCCACAATCCACTCATCACTCTATGAGCCATGGACACGGCTGCCTTCCGAGCTACGTAAAATTCCTGAGGTTCAAAAGCGTATACGAATCGCACAGAACATCGTGCCAGTCGTCTTCTCCAAAAATCAGAACGTCAAGTCTGGGATCAACCGACTGAAGACATACTTAGGTGCCTACAGAGACACTGCGTCTACGATTGAGATGCCGGATGCATTAAGAGAGGACGACCTGGTTATAGCCGTTTCGGCGCAGGGCGAGGGCACAACGAAACTAGTAGGCATTGTGGACATGGTCCGACGGATTGTAGCGCCAAGTGGGACAGAGCATAACAAGAATGCGAAAGAGGTGTGGTGGATGTACACTATGCTTACTTGTGTGGATATCGATCGAGAAGTAAAGGAGTCGATACCAGCGGACGAGGATAATACAGACGCCGAGAGGACCCAGAGTACACAGGAGGAGGCTTTTGAGCCCACGAACCTTGACAGGCAGTACGCACGAAGGCCATCGACTGGAAATGGCACCGTGCAGAGGAGGACAGTCCCTGTGCTAACGGTTTGGATGACTAAGAAGCGGATACCCGTTTTCCAGACCGCCTTTAGGGAGCAGACTTTCACCGTGCAATTACTGCTCAAACACTCGAACTGAAGTACAAGTTTCCCACAAGTTTCCCAGATAGAAACCTGCAAAATTCACCTGGGCTGCGATTCGGCCATCACCGGGTCTCCAGATAACCTTAGCCCTATCTATCTAGAACACCCCGATCTGCTTGTCTGTCCACTTCACCTTCTTTGGAACCATAGCAAATGGCAGACTCCACAGTCGGTTCGTCAAGCGCCAACTAAGACTCAACACTACAGTGCCTTTCCGAGTTGCTAATGGTTAGTAGCGCCATCCTACCATGCATGTTGTTCATCGCAACATGCAAATTAAAGGGAGCTAGGGTCGCATCATCATCAGGGAGGATACAGGGCGCGTTACCAGCTCAGCTTGTTAGAAGGGGCATATTTAGGAGACAAGCGAGTGCTGGATAGAAATTCTACTAATATTATAATGCCTATGGTTCGTCCCCTTCCTTCCTCTCTTTTTCCCCGCCCTGCCACGTCCCCCTTGTAAGGACATCCTCCCTGCGTCTGAGTATACAACCTCACATCCGCTAATATCCCCCAGTTTTGACTGTTCCAAATCCTAGACTGTATGTGTAGTGGCAAAGATTTCATAACTTAATTGGCTTTGTCAGAGCTGGAGACTCGTCAATTAGCAGGTGAGGAGCTGGCGGGTCATGGTAAACTGGCTTCCGGGTTCGACGACGTGGCTGGGAAGGAGACGAAAGATGGAGCACTGTGCGCAAAGTTGTTATGTGACGAGATGGCGCGATTTCACACTTGTCAATGATGTGAGTGCTCAACGGATAGCATGTTGAGGTCAAGGGAATGCGGCGTCAAGTGGCCGCAGCACAAGCCAGTAGAATGAAATTGATCCTGGGTGATCGCGTGTTTTTTTTACAAATCCGGTCTAACAGGCTTTTTGATCTTTTGCAGAGTTAGGTGAAGTGATTTTTGACAAAAGGCTTTCTTATGATTAGCGGGCTATCACAAATGGAACAAGCCAAGACAGGGTGCGCAAGGTAAAGATTCATAACGAAAGATCCATCAAGGGCACTCTGTGACCTCAGCAACTGCCTGAACATCAACTCATGATTACTTAAATCAATTATAGTCCCAGTAAGAAACAAAGCATAGTAGATTAAACCTACGCATGACGCCCATATCTGCACTCTTTGCCCCACTAACCGTTTGCCCTCTCACATTGCCTCCACCGCCAAAGCCTCCTCGCCCATCAGTGAGTCATTACGTCTTAATATGTACCAGATCTTCCGCCTGTCATCTAAAAACAATGCCGCAATACTCCTGTGTCGGCAACACGTTCGAAGTGTCTGACATTTGAACTACGTAAAAGTTGTAATGGACAGAAGAAATACAGAAGCGAGGTCAAGAGGCCGCGCTACACGCCGGATTGCTACGACGTATCGGTGAATACCAGGTATGAAGACTTGACTTCGAGTGTGACGATTAGGTTGATTGGTTCTTGCAATGAGGAGTGAGGCTTGTGGTGGGTGGGCGAGGTTGAGTTAGGAGAGAGGGGAAGGGGGTGTTAATGGTTGATTGATAGAATTGAGGGCCGATTGAGCATACTAGAGGATGAACAGCGTGTATCTAGAGTTCGAGAAAGTAAAGCTATGTTTTGATCTCATTGTTCAGTACCACTACGCAGAGTTTGTTTGCTCACGACTGAATCGGAAACCATTGAGTAAACACTCTTTTCGGGTCGTATTTCTTTTTGAGCGTTTTCAGTCTCGCGAGACCGGTTCCATAGATGGCGGTGTTTGTCTCGTCCCCGAATGCAAAGTTTGCATACCTATAGAAAATTTATTAAGAGCACAGTATCATCGCAACGATGACGACTTACGTTGGATCATTTTTCGGATTGCTACTCCTTGTCCACAGTGCCCTAACCTTACTTCCAAATTCCAAAGCTTCAACATCGAGACTAGCATCATCATACCACGGTATAACGATTGCCTGTGAGAATGCGTCCCTCCTCAATGCCTCGTTCATGGCTGTTGAGTCGAGAGATGCGGACTTGGCTTTGGTCAGATTATAGCGCTCGACAAGCACAGCAGAATTTAGACCTTTCGCCTGAAAACCTTTGTAGAGCTCCCAGATCTCAGGCCACTTCTGTGCGCTCATTCCAGTGATAGTTGAGCTGTATGACGGCTTGCGACCACCACGGTTACAAAAGCCGATATTGGCATCGTTCCAGTGATCATATGTGGTAATTGCGCTGGATTGGGATACAGGCCCGATATCGTAAAAAGGGGCGAAGGCTGCGCGACCTGTTTCATTAGTCCCCTTCCGAAGAAAGCCGGTAACCAGAATGGAGGGCTCGTTAAGTGGCTCGCCACTGGAGGTTAGTACGAGGTACACTCGCTGTTGTGGCGTGAGGGGAAGGTCCTCCACCGCTTGCGCAACCTGTTCGAGCTTGTCGGGCGAAAATAAGAGGTTGTTGATGAATGCTGTACGATCTTCTTCGGTAGCGGGCATTGCCCTGACGGTCGCTGAAACCACGATTCCAAAGTTGGGACCTGCTCCTCGAAGTGCCCAGAACAATTCAGGGTGAGACGTAGAAGATACTGTGAGTATCTCGCCGGTAGCGATGACCACACGCATGGAGATAATGTTATCGACTCCAAAGCCGACCTCACCCATGAGGTTACCTTCTGTGAGTTAGCGCTGAGATGCTCGCAAGATGCACGTATTACACACCGTATCCGCCACCAAGCATAGCTCCCAGAGCGCCAACGCAGTTACAGTTGCCTGTAATAATCAAAGCACCGACAGCGTTGGCTGCTGCGACGGTTTCTCCAATGCTTGCACCGCCTCCAATAGTGGCGGTCGTCTTGTCTGCAGCGACAGTGACTTTGTTGAGATTAGATAGGTCGATCACAACGCCCCATTTTCCCAAACTGAAGGTCTTTCCCCATCCAATACCGCCATTCTGCGCAAGAAAAGGTATACCAATCTTTGTACAGTACTTGATCTTTTTCTCCGGTTAGCCCTCACTATCCGTTATTCAACCAGTCTGAGTGGGGCTGCACCTACTATTGTTGCTATGTCTTTTTCAGCCTGCACGCTGACGACAACCGCTGGCAAGGGCGCGTTGTAATCACTCCAGCGTGCTCGAATTTCGGCATTGACTGAAGATGGCGATGACACTAGGGTTTTCAGATCGCTTACGACGTCGGCCTGCCTTACTGCCAGCGCGGACACCGCCGCAGCAAAAGAAACCAAGAGTGACAAGACCTTCATGTCAATGATACCACATGCATGGCTGATGGTCCAACGGGCCCTTTAATTGACACTAAACTTTCTCGGCTACTCACAGAATGACATGAAATGTCGGGACCACCTGTTACCAGGTAACGTAAGGAATTTGCCGTCTCAGTACGAGAACCTAGTCACCAGATGGCCCTGTACCCCTTAGCACCTGCATGGTATAACTTAGCCGATCTAGGTGTGGTTGCCGAGCGATTATCTTGGACATGGATGATCTGCCGTGCCCGTTCACAGTCGACCCGGTTACCGCGGGCGTATCCACATTCGGTCGTGCGTCCTCCGATGACCCCATGCGAGCCGACCCCCATCCATCTCCGTAGATGGTTCGTCGCTCCAACGGTGCACGGTCACAAATATCAACGCATAATGTCCAAGAGGCCTTGTGAGCTAGTTCTCCCAAGCGGATGAGTTTGATTGTGGTCTTTCCAAAGTATCGCCATTTGCACGTAGGCTGGACCCAGCTTACGGCCAGCATCGAGAGATGCGGAAGGTGACATCGCCGTAGAAGCAGGGTCCCAGGAACGTGCTGTCGGTGGTATGCAATATATGTCTTCCCGAGTGACTTGGCGCTTGGCGGTGGCATGGATAGTACACCGGGAAACTTATCTTTCAGGAAAGACACCCCTCCAGCCGCTAATAATGTGTTATCATCTTGGGTAGCCTTTGAGGCTAATAGAAGAAAATATCCTGAGAACTAGGCCTAGCGAATCATTGTGAGAATCGGGCTTCGACATATTAACACTGGTGTGGAAACCTGGCCCTTACTAGGTCTCCAATTTGTTTCATCGGTAGCTTGCCGGATTGCCAGTCTTTTGATGCATTCCCAAAAAGTGCTCTTTCAGCCTAGTCTTTGGAGTGGTTGCTTATACCTGAGGCGCTCTGCAAGGCTCGTAATCCATCTAAGTAGCATCCCGTTGAAGACACGTTCGTGGTCGTTGTACCGGGAAACGTATCGTATTCTGATTCGATCTAATCTACGACTTCTGCTACTCATAAGGGAAGTAATGTGGAGTCTCGGTTTACGAGTCTACCTACATACGTCTCCGAATATCTGAGGTAAGACTTGCCGCCCATCCTAACTCTCTACACCCTGGTAACATCGTCCAATTTTTCTTTGAACGCTGCCTCAATCGGATCGAGTTGAGCACGCGTCGCAGTCATGCTCGCCATGAGGTAGATAACGTTACCTAATATGCGCGAATGAATCTGTACCTGTGATTCGGATACATCATGCAGTAGAGCGTCTCGAAGACCAACCGCTGCCGAAGAATTGTAACCTAGGCTATGTCAATTATAAATCATGGGAGAGATTGGTATGACATACCTGAACCACCTTCGTCGATTAATGATACTGCCAGGACAGAGCCCAGGGCGTTCACATGCTCGACTCTCTCGTGTTCTGAAACGCTTTCTACAAAGGATTTAGACCACATACTCCAGGTACACTCGTCTCTTCTCCTTTCCCTGGTTTTTGTGCTCAACCCTTGAAGTTTAGGTGACCATGGCAGCCTGAAATCATCCCACTGCTTGCTAGTGTGCAAACGTTTCATGGTTTCCAAGCTCCTGTTTGCAACATGGCATCCCACCGCATGAGCAGTATAACTATGTCCATGAAGGAGAGCTTCCGACTTCTCGTCGCCCCAGAAAGCTTGGAAGATGGAGTCGCTCGCGGCCGTGATCGAAAGCGGAAGTAGACCTCCCGTGAGTAACTTGGCATTTACGCTGATGTCAGGATGAACGCCGAGGAATGAGGCAGCCGAAAAACGACCTAGACGATACAACCCTGTGAACACCTCATCGAACATAATGGGGAGGCCAGACCAAGCGAGCGCGTCTTCAGTTTGAGGGTCTGTGGTCTTGGAGCCGTTTGCAAAATCGTAACGACGGACGACGCGCATCAGGCTTTGCTGAAAAAGTGGATCTACGAATAGCATACCCCCGGCTCCAAGAACCACGGGCTCTAAAACCAATGCGCCAAATTTTCTGCCCTGTTTTTTTACCAGCTCATCTAGCGTTCTTTCGATGTAGGCCTCATAGCGGGTTGCTGTGTCTCTAGCAGCAAGATCGAATATGTCATCCTGGCACCCAAAAAATTGGACTGGACCTAGCTCTTTCTCCATGCCCTTAGGGGGTTCAACTACCCATCGACCATTTTTGAGTTTGAATGTTGGATAGTCGAACCAGAAGCCGCGCCCACGATACCAGTCAACTTTCTCGTTGAAGACGCATGGCTCGGAAGCGTCCATGGCACCGATCGTGTCTCCGTGGTAACTGCCCTTGAGACCAATAATACCTATGGACTCTTTTGTGCTGTCCCAATCGTAACACTTGCTAGCAGCACGAAGGGCCATTTTGATACCAACCTCTGTCGCTGTACTGCCGTTATCAGTGTAGAATACTTTCCGCAGACGGCTTCCGTTTCCGTTGTTCCCGTCCCAAAGGATACTCTCCGCTAGAGTGACAGCTGGTTGGTGTGTGGCCCCAGCGAACATGACATGACCATACCGCCCTGCTGCATATGCTGCTTCCAGCGCCAACCGGGGATTTCCGTGTCCGAGACCTTGTGTCCACCATGATGCTGAGCCGTCAAATGCAGGATATAGGATCTGATTCTCAACATGGGGCTCCTCATCGTTACCCCTGCGTTTGACCTGGAAATAGTCGCCATACGCAGAATCGATGGCCAAGATGTCTTCTGCGCTCTTTACATGTTTGTGCTGTGTGAACGGATGCCAGATCGCTTTCTCTGTTCTATATGGCATAGTCCCCGTATCGATGATTCTCCTTTGGTGGCGTTGATCCAGCCATTCGGAAACCGTATACATTGCCTTGCTATCACTTTGTGATGTGTAGTACTTTTGCATGATCTCCGTCTCTTCCTTTGTTCCTGGTCCAATACCTTGAAGATTTGGAATCCAGGGTAAGATTACAGTTGATATTCCCATATCCTTGAAATACTTCTGCAAGTACGGTGCGTTCTTATACTGACTTTGGTCGTCGAAACATATGACAGCGTCGATATCGTATCCTCGTATCTTCAAAGACTCTGCGGCTGATATGGTTGAGCCGATACCGCCTAACCGATGGTCGCCTACGAGCACCGAGGGAAGTCGCAGTGGTCGCAAAATATCCGCCTGCGGTGTACCCGAAGGTCCTGGACTGAGAACACCGCCAGCCGTCTCGATGATCGAGAAGCCTCTATACCCCCGCTCTAATGTGTTTGCTGCTTGTTGGACGGTCTTGAACACGGTTTGACTAATGAGCTCATCGCTAGGCTTGGACCGTCAACTAATGCTTGTAGAAGTGCAGTTATTGCAGCAAAACTCACAATGAGGTCTGATCCTCTTGCCGCAATATGCGGACTTACAGCTTTATCGAATTTGAAAAGTGTTGAAACATGTTGGCCGCTATACTTGTGCACATAGCTAATGAGCAGTCAGCCATATTGCAGACACTTGTCATGATTCATAACAGATATACTGACCTGTCATCGGCCTCATCAGCTGGACCAGTGGATACGGGCTTTATGTATTGTACTTTCAACTTCGCGTGCCTGCTTAAATGGGCACCCAGGAGCGTCGAAAATACCGTCTTACCCACTCCTGTGTTAGCGCCATAGATTTGGACAGCAACAATGTTCTTCCATAGGCCTCCTGGCACCTTCGCCATGTCTCTGTCACGTCCAGTTGGTGGTGAGTTGAGGAGTATGCTGTTGCTATCTGGCTGTAGCTGGCCAATGTGGGGAAAGCGCTAGCAGCGACGCGACTACGCCGAGGCTAAGCATGCAGGTACAAATGTAATGAGTCAATAACTGCATGGCCGCACGTCCGAAGGCACTGAGGGGTTGGCTTATGCAGCGTTTTAGCTAATGAGTATGTTTTTACTTTTGACAGGTCTCAACGACGCGGAAATCCGCGGCAGACCCCACGCTTACTTCCCGCTTTTCATTGATGCTACCACTCCATCCACGTAGTCAGCTCCACACCATCACCGACGGTCACGTTATCACTGTCCAGATTCCCTATTGCCATACTCCATCGGAAGACATGGGAGATGAAACGAGCCCAATGCTGTTGCAAAGCAAGTTACGAGACCTACTCGACCGTCGACGCACAAACTCAACACTCCGAAACTTAACTTTACCTGTTCTCGATCAGACCGACTTCTCCTCCAACGACTTCCTTTCGCTCTCAACTTCGCCAGAGCTCAAGTCATCGTACCTCCAGGAGCTACAAAGGACTAGTCTCCCATTAGGTAGCGGCGGGTCAAGACTCCTGGATGGCAACTCGATATATGCTGAACAACTAGAGCAAGAAATTGCATGCTTCCATGGAGCCGAGTCAGGATTGCTTTTCAACAGTGGGTTCGACGCAAATGCTGGTTTCTTTGCGAGCGTGCCACAGCCGGGAGATGTAATAGTTTACGACGAGCTTGTGCATGCAAGTGTGCATGACGGCATGAGATTATCACGAGCAGCCAAGGTGGTTGCCTTCGAACACAACTCTGTATCAGCCTTAAAGCAAGTCTTGCTAGGTCTTCTCACTGAGCAAGATGGTGTACGCGAAGGAAGATGCAATGTTTTTGTAGCATTGGAATCTATCTACAGCATGGACGGAGATGTGTGCCCCTTGAAGCAGATGGTCGAAGTAGTCGAAGAAGTCCTAGGTCACGAAAGGGGGTACATTGTTATGGACGAGGCGCATTCTACAGGTGTGTTGGGACCAGAGGGTAGGGGGTTGGTGTGTGAATTAGGGCTCGAAAAACGTATATTTGCAAGATTACACACCTTTGGGAAAGCCTTAGCAGCCAACGGAGGTAAACTTTTCCTTTCCACTAGCGAAGCACAGTACAAATGCTGACCACTCATACAGCGATCCTTCTGGGCTCGGAAACCCTTCGCCACTACTTGATCAACTACGCACGTCCACTAATCTATACAACATTCCTGTCCTATCCTTCGCTAGCCCTTATCCGCTCTTCATATCGGCTACTACGATCCGGGCAGAGTGTTGGTCTACAAGCTCATCTACAAAGTCTCACGCAGCATCTCTACACTAGTCTGAGTCGTCTCCAAAGACTCTCTGATATGGCTCATAGAGTCCTAACGATTCCAAGCGCATGTCCAAGATCGCCCATCTTTGCAGTGCAGCTAGCAAAACCAAAAGTATTGGCAAGCTTCCTGCAAAGTCACAGTATGATGGTTCGAGCTGTGGTACCACCGACAGTGCCAGTGGGTACTGCTAGGGTCAGAATCTGCTTACATGCCGGTAACACATTTGCGGATCTGGAGAGGCTTGTTGAACTCCTTGGAGAATGGTGTGAGAGTCAAGCAGCTGAGATGCTACAGGACAATACACTAGAGCCAGTTACGAGAGCCAAACTTTAGCTTTGAATAGGTGCACAAACGTTTCTACTTTGTAATGTTTATGTATTAGCCGTCTTGTGTAGACTACCATGGCCTTTAGGCAAGTGCCTGAACCGTTGCCTCCGCTTCAGCAGCAGCAACAACTGCCTCAGCCTCATCCTGTCCAGGAAGCTTGCGCCTCTCTCCAATCGTCTCATCCATCTTCATAGGCCTGAGTCCCCATCTACCAAACATGGCCTTGTCCTCTTCCCAACCATTGCAAGCAGTAGTCAGCATTTTTTCGCCAGTGAAGACAGCGTTGGCACCCGCTTGGAAACACATGATCTGTTTCTCCTCGCGCATCGTGTGGCGACCAGCTGCTAGTCTGATAATGGTTGTTGGCATGACTAGACGCGCAGTGGCGATGGTTCGCAGGATGGCGTCGAAGGAGATCGCCTCGGTCTCTCCAAGTGGAGTGCCTTTGATTGGAACCAGGGCGTTGACTGGAAAGGACTCAGGATGGGCGGGCAATGTCGCAACGGTGTGAATGAGTCCGACATGATCACGAGCCTTCTCCCCTAGACCAAGGATACCACCAGTGCATACGTGGATGCCAGCTTCCTGAACGTTCTTGATGGTGTTGAGTCGCTCATCGTACGTGCGAGTTGTGATGACACTTGGGTAGTGCTCTCGACTAGTATCAACATTATGATTGTATGCAGTCAGTCCAGCATCTTTGAGTTCCTTTGCTTGCGCAGCATCGACCATGCCCAAGGTAACACACGCCTCCATGCCCATGCCACGCACGCCCTTGATCATTTCCTTGATGTTCTTAAGATTCGTCTTGCGGCCTCGCATGTCTCTCCAGGCAGCGCCCATGCAGAATCTTGAGCTCCCATTCTCTTTAGCAATTCGCGCAGCTTCCAGGACGGAATCAACCGAAGATAGTTTTGTGGCTTTCAGACCGGTATCGTAACGGGATGACTGTGCACAGTAGGAGCAATCCTCGCTGCAACCTCCTGTTTTGATGTTGAATAGTGTGCACATCTGGATGGCTGCGGGGTCATGGAAGCGCCGGTGCACCGAAGCCTATAGCGAGATTGATAAGACAGTGACCCTCCAGATTGCCACAGAGTTGCTTGACATACCGATGCATATGTGAGATCTATCAGTGAAGTGTTGTAGACTTCGGAGATCTCCTCCTTTGTCCAGTTGGTCCTGGGGGCACTTGCATTGAGTGCATTCTCAAAGACGGAGCCTGCCCGGGCTACAGAGCGTAATTGCTGAGTTCCTGGGTCGACTGGGGTATCGAGAACAGTACTGAAGGGGCGGGTGATCTGCAGTGAGCGAGGAGTGAGCGCCAGGCCCCGGCCTGTACGAAGGAACACTCTTTGGGCCATTGCGAAGGTCTGCTGAAGCTCGACACGAGACGCTGGAATCACGTACAGTCAACGGGTGCTTCGAACTAGCTGGCCACGGTCTACGGGAAACGGCTCCAGGGCTTCAGGAACGCGTCGGCGTGCTTTGGTAGATCAGCGTGGGACTTCCGCCAATCAGATTTGAGATGATCAAGCGCGGGGTGCCGTAGCGCCTTTACAACTGTATAACCTTGCGAGACCGAGCGGTCCAGCCAAAAGCGCCGAGGTAATAATGTACAGCACTGGCGAGCATCACTGATGTCGCCTTTCCAAGGAGCCATTGGACTTCCCGATGTCTGCCCCAACAAAACAGACCTGCCAAATTAACATTCATCAATCATCTTCCCAAGACTGTCTGCTTGATATGATTCAGCGCACTTCCCGCTCTCAACCACCTCAATTGCCCCTCGCTGTAACTATGGTTGAGCGGCGCGACCCACTCTCCTGCATGCGCGCATTCTACGCGCATGCTAGCCTGCCTTCCCGGCCGTAGCTCGCCGTCTTCGACACCTTGTAGCGTAATACGATCGCCCAACTGAATACGATCGTAGTCTCGAGGGTTTGCAAATGTCAAAGGAAGCATGCCCTGCTTCTTGAGATTCGTCTCGTGTATCCTGGCAAACGAGCGTGCTATGATAGCCACACCGCCGAGGAAACGCGGCTCAAGGGCTGCGTGCTCGCGCGACGATCCTTCTCCATAGTTCTCATCGCCGACGATGCACCACTTTATTCCTCGATCACGTAGGTCTCGAGCGACTTCATGGATAAGACCGGCTTCTTTGGTCAGTGGATGGATGGTGTGGCCGAGCAACCGAGAGTCGGACGAGAGAAAGGCGTTCGAAGCTGCGAGAAGCATGTTGTGGCTAATATTCTCAAGATGGCCTCGGTACTTGTACCAAGGCCCTGCTGGAGATATGTGATCGGTCGTACACTTACCCTTGACTTTGGCCAGAATCGACATGCCTTTCGTACAGCCTGGAGACCACGATTCAAAAGGCTCGAGCAGTTTCAGGCGGTCGGATTGTGGGTCGATGTCCACGACCACATCGTCGGCGTCATGAACTGAAGCCTGGTAAAAGTCCTCGCCGACGGCGAATTGAGAAGGTAGCTCAACATCTATTGGCGCCGTAAATCGGAACCCTTCTGCAGACCCTTCAATTGGAAGGTAATCGGTAGTAGGGTTGAAATCCAATCTTCCAGAGTAGGCAAAGGTGGTGACCATTTCTGGAGAAGTCACGAACGAACAGGTCTCTGGATTTCCGTCGTGTCGACCGACAAAGTTGCGATTGAAGCTTGATACCACTGTGTTCCGCTCACGACCCTTGACGTCGACGTCCGTACGCTGCCATTGCCCGACACACGGGCCGCACGTACTGCTCAGCACAACAGCGCCTGCATCGCGTAATGTCTGTAGGATACCCTCCGATTCCGCAGTTGCACGTATATCTTCGCTACCCGGTGAGACCAAGAATGGCGTCTTCACATGCGGCAAACCAGCAGCCTTGGCTTGAATGACAAGCTGTGACGTTTTGTATAGATCTTCGTATGAACTGTTAGTACAGCTGCCTACCATAGCATGACTGACTTCGACAGGCCAGTCATTGTTTGCTACAGCATTCTTCAAATATGAAAGAGGATGCGAAAGGTCTGGTGTGAAGGGACCATTTATATGCGGCTCCAAGGAGTCTAGATCGATTTCAATGACAGCGTCGTAATGATCTTCTGAGCCCTCATCTGCTGTCAGCAGAACGTCCTTGTAGCTGTTTGCGAGACGCGCGATACTCCCACGCTTTGTCGCTGAAAGATATCGGTATGTAGCTTTGGTGTAAGGAAAGATGCAGGAAGTTGATCCAATCTCAGCTGACATGTTACAGACTGTTGCCATGGCTGTTGCGCCTAATGTCTCTGTGCCTGGGCCGAAGAACTCGAGGACTTTGCCTTTTCCGCCAGAGACGGAGAGGATACCCGCAAGTTTGCAGATGATATCCTTAGTCGAGGCCCATCCATGTAGACGGCCTGTAAGTCGTACGCCTACAACCTGTGGACACATGAGCTCCCAAGGCATACCAGCCATTGCATCGACTGCATCCGAACCTCCAACTCCGATGCCTAGCATACCCATGCCGCCAGCATTAGGCGTGTGGGAGTCTGTCCCGATGATCAGTCCACCAGGAAAAGCATAATTCTCAAAGATGGTAGTGTGGATGATGCCAGCTCCGGGTTTCCACCAACCGATACCATATTTCTTTGATGCGCTACTCAAGAAGGCGTAAACCTCTTGGTGCTCTTTTCGCCCACGAATAAGGTCATCTACAGCACCGTCGCGTGATACAATGAGGTGGTCGCTGTGTACTGTGGTGGGTATTTGTACTTTTGGAAGGCCTGCGCTGATGAATTGCAGCAACGCCATCGTCGCCGTTGCGTCATGACATGCGACTCTATCAGGTCGGAGATGCAATAACGTCTCTCCACGCCGGATTTCGTCCAAAGACCAGTGGTGCTCAGTCGAGACATACAGATGGCTGTAGAGTACCTTTTCCGCCAGAGTTAATGGGCGCTTCGAGCCATGCTTGATAGAGCCGAGCTGCAAAACCTGTCGGTCGTAGTCGAGTGGTGTGTCTATATCCAGAAGACTGATTGGTACCCGGGGTACATGTGTAGCCAGGCTCCTGACATGGCAAGTGGGGTGACGGCGGTGGAGGTATCTCCGCGTTGCGAGCTGAGTGATGAACATGAATTGGCAATAACTCAAAGATAGTACAAGTGATTATGCTTGTGTGAGCCATATTGGCAGCAGAGTATATCAGCGCAGGCCGGGAAGATGATCCTTATCACCGTAGTTCGGTCGGCCTTTGATACTAGCGCTAAGATGCCGGGACATTCGCAACCGAACGGCGCCGCCGGAGCTACAAATGACTCCAGCTCTGACATTTAGTTACACTCAACACCAAACTTTACCAACCATTGCGAATTCCTCTTTCGTACCACTGATATGACAGACTCCACATTCGCCAACAATTCATATTTCATGCTTCCCAAAGATTAGTTTGACCGCCACCGCCAACGCGAATGGTATCCAACGTGAGCGCGTCCTCGGGAACGACAACGTCAATTCTATGGCTTGCGCCCGCGAACACGTAACCATTCTTGATTGCTCTGATACCAATGGAACAATATGAGATTGAGCTGTTCAGTAGCCTGTGATTAGTCAGGACGCTGCTTCGGACGGCATCGTAGATGAATAGCGCACGATTACCGAAGGGTTCTCTTGCCTAGTTTCTCGGAGACACCAGTATCGTGAAGATAAACCATGTAGATGGAGTGCTGTATGTTTGGACACGATACATCGGTTCCATTGTGCATGTGGTTACAAGTCAATTCTTTATGCGCAGCATCGCTATTCCGAATTACCGGCTTGAAATTCGAAAGCAATTCCCTCAAAAAAAATCCGCGTACGTGGTGCTCTTAGACAAGGAGGCAAGCGATCGGAGGCTCGGGCAAGCAGCATATATACTCGCAAAGAAAAATCGACATGGCCGTTGAGCATGCAAGCGGTATACACAAGCAAGCTGATGGTGCTCGGTCTCGCATGGCACCCTGCTTCCAATGCTATCATTAGCGTAGATGATGTTCTGTATACATGGCAGTCGTACTTCTCCGACAATGAAAGCACGACGTGGCTGTGGCTTGTAACACGAGCATCTCGCGAAAGCATTCACGTTGTCGCGTTGGCGTCGCGTTCAAGTGCACAAGCTAGTGAAGCAGATGCCCAGGTTCTAGAACGATGAACACGGCCGATGACGTAGTGTCCCTTCCGCCCACCAAACTTCAACATCCCTCATCAATATACACATGACAACACCTTCTGACCTTGGGCACCGAGCAGCTGTGCGCGCTTTCATCTCAAATCACCATGTTCTCGCCCTCAATATACACCGTCAGCATATTCCAGCTTGGACTCACCTCCGCCCTCAGCGCCTACGGCCTCTACCTCTCCTACCAAAACATAACCCGCCTACAGCAGTACGAAGAAAAGAGCCAAAAGGCTGCAGAATGGTCAAACACGGCTGCGCAAAGACTGCATAAGACCAGGTCAACACAGACTAGCGGCACTGTGACAGTATGCTTGAATCACCTTCGACCGCCCCCAGATAGTACTAACACGACAACTCTAGCTACTACTTAGTTTCCTTACATCCACCGCCCTCGTCATAATCCCCAGCCTTGCAACCACGAAATTACTCATCTGCGCTGGCGTTGCAAATGCTGCAGCTGCATATCTCTCCCGTGTACATATGGCAAACTTCTGGAACGACAAAAACCAGACCAAAATCCCGTTTGTCGAAAAATTCAATGAAGCGATACGAGGAAGCGAGCTCGTGGTACTGCTACTCGGTACGTTGAGTTTGGCATGGGCGGTTGCAGGAGGAGTATGGACGGGTATGGCTAATGGCGGATCGGGAATACTGGGTCTGGGCGTTTGGGGATTGGTTGTTGGTGGAAGAGTCATGTCTATTGCGCCGCAAATGGGATGGACGAGTAGTGCGTAGTATCAGAAGGTGAAGCAGATCGACGATCCATCGTAATTTCATTTGATCGTTTGGGTATCCAAAACATTACATCAAGATTTACTCATATGTTCCATCTCGCTCATCTCGCGAACTAGTCTTACGCTATCCGCTTCCCTGACCCAGTCTTCAATCCTTGCACCAACATCCCCGACGAGCTTCTCATACGTCTCGTTGATGAAGAAAAGTGAAGTATGAGCTGTTACCTCGTCCATGTTCTCCATGAACACTCGTATCCATGTAGGGTCTTTGTTTCCATCCGCATCTTTGGGTGGCAGCATGCAGAACTTCTTAAGCTTCTTGGGTTTGGCAGGCGCACTTTCCTCCGACCCAGTCTTCTTTCGGTGACTGTTTTGGCTGTCCATGGTAGAAAGGGTATATGAAGAATCAGTGCGGTCGTCTGGCGATTCTTGGCTCATGATTCCGCTACGAGAGAATTCGTAGTGACTATACGGGCCCTGATGACTGTGCTGAGCCGTCTCATCGCCTCCAAGTTCCATGGCGCCAACATCCTCCTCCAGTTCGATCATCGCAGGTGTTGGTGCAGGTGCAGACTCAGCTGTGTCTTCTAAGGGTATCTTTCCATCACGCAAGTCTGCATCTCTTTGTCTCTGTCGGGCCTCCTCCTCCCTCTGCTCTGCTTCTGCTTGTCTCTGTTCTCTTTCTTTTTGCCGCTGTCTGTCCTCTCTTGACATATTGTTTGCCTCCTCTTCCTTTTTCCGCTTGTCTTTCTCCTTCTCTTCCCTTGCCTTGTCCTGCTCTTCTTGCCTCTTTCTCTGCTCTTTTTCCCGTTCCTTCCTCTCTTTCGCTTTGTCCTTTTCCCATTTCTCCTCCATCTTAGTCCGTTCGTTTATGGTCTTGTTACGCATCTTCACAGCCTTCTGGTACACTTTGAGTGCCTGATCGTGCTCTTTCTCTGCCGCTTTGCGCTGAGTCTTGTCGGAGAATTGCATCAAATCCACGAATGGTGGCTCCTGTGGAATAGGCGGGATCTCTGGTAAGTTTGGTGCACCTGCGCTTTCGTGGGTTGGTCCTCCAAAGGCTTGAGGTCCAATTGGGCTAGTGGCTGTAAGTGGCTCTTCAGGGCTTACAGGTACAATGCCGTCCTCTCGATGCTCGTGGACTTGGATGGATAACTTGGGGCTGTCTTCGATGGGTTCAGGATGTACATGAGTCATCTCTGGTTCTGATGATGTAACTGATACACTTCTAGATGTCTCTTGGTACTCTGATCGAGGTTGTAATGGCCGCGATGGCTCGCTTGAGGCGCTTTTGTTGCTGTCCTGATACTGTAGTTGCTGGCTAGGAGACCGAGATGGAGATGGTGACTTTGGAGATTTCGGCTTCTTGGGTCTCCCAGTACTTGCAGTATAGTAGTTGACGAAGCGTACACGAGGTACTGTACGAGCTTGGGGATTACCAGATCTCCTTTTGCTTTCGTCGTCTTCCTCTAGTGCGCGCACCTTCACATATCTGTCCTTCAATTCCTTATAGTCGGCCATTGCACTGCCAAACTCGAAATGAGACTTGACAAGGCCCTTGGTAGCTTCCTTCAAACCGTCTTTGTAGTGCTTGGTGAGCCAATGTAGGCTGTTTTCCCAGCCTTTTCTATTCGCCAAGTGCACATCATTTGGGAAAGCCGGATTGTAATTAGGATCTGTCGGCTTGGGGTTAAAGATGGTGCTAATCCTGCTGGGCTTCTTTCCGACATCTGCATCCTGCACGATTGCGTCTTGCGGCTTTGGCGGTGCACTAAAAATGCTCCCTAGCCCGGCCTTGATGATTCCAGGGTGCATACCTAGGAACGGAACATCGAAATTCACGATACCAATGATGCGATGTCGAAACACCAATGCAATGTCGGCAGCGAGCAAACCACCCATGGAATGACCGAGTAAGATAACGTCGGTCCACTGGTCTTCGTGTGGGGCTAGCCTGACAACTGTCAGTCACGAGCATATTTACAAGTAGGGCAACCGAACCATGACGAGAAATTGTCTCTTGCGATTTCGAGTGAGTCTCTGGACTTGTATCTGGGGTAGATCTTGGTATGAACTACATGAGATTCGGCAAGTGTGATGGTGACAAGATTATGGACGTGAGCTGGGAAGCTTCGGAAACTTGTTTCGTTGCCCATGAAGCCATGGATGAAAACCAGCATTAGGCGCCGTCGCCCTGAGTCGCCCTGGGTAAGATCAGGGACAAGCGACTGTGTTGAAGAAGAGCGCGGATCTTGCGAAGTCATGCCCATGACGGTGTATGGCGGAGGCGCGTCACTTGTCGAAGAGTCTCGTGGAGGAAGAGGTGGTGGGCGTTTTGACGCTGCCTGATTTTGGGGCGACGTCATTATTGAGCGTGACTGTGTCTGTTACTGGATTGGCGACAAGCATGAGAACAGTCACAGATGCAATACAATCGTCGATGGCTTGAGAAATGGGAAAGTATTTGCACAGCTTGGTAGGACGTTCGGTCTGGAGGGGCAATTATGTGGGGTAAACGCGACAACTTACAGGATACGCAAGGCCGTATCGATACGGCAGACGTCGTATCCGCTCGCCACCCAACGTATTCACAATCACGTATGCACAGCAGGTAGACACGGCGATGTAATGTTTAGAAATCGGACCCAGCCTTGCGCAATTGACGTGATGCATTACAGCCAGAGCGGAAGCGTGCGCACCCCGATGCAGTGTTGGGACATGCGGCAGTCGCAGTTGAGCGCGTGGAATCTAATGAAGGCAGGCCCACAGTGTGTTTGAAACATGTGAAGACAAAGAGGTGAGAAGTAGCGACGGAATCGTGGTGGCTCTTCGCCGACGATTGTCTTGGCATGCAAACAATTCCTATGTTCGTGTTTCGAGGTTGCGCCCGTGTTAGGCTGGCCATGGGAACGTCTGTCTTAAGCTGCATGACTCGAGCATATAGCGGTTGATCGCCGAGACTGAGACTGAGACTGAGACTGAGGCAGTAAGGCCTCTTTTTAAGGTTTGTTATGGTCAATGACCCTATATGGCAAACAGTCACGCCCGGATCACGACATCGGACAGGCATGGATGTGCTCGTCAGTTGTTGGGTGGCGTTGATGCGCTGTTTGTTGGTGAGGCGGATTGGTCAGGGGGACGGGGGAGTTTAGATGCTAACAATGGCGCGTTGGAGAGATGAAGCTCGTGATGTTGGTGGTGAAGTGTAAAGGCGACCCTGGCGAGCAATAGCACTACGAGAGCTTGGCAATACGCCAGAGAGAGCGACGGCAGATTGCAGCAAGCGACGGGCCCAAAGCGTGTAGCGCGACTCGAGGGTGCTTGTGCGACAATGGCAGGTGCGACAATAGAAAGGCGGCAACTAAGAATAACAGACTTCGCAGCGTGGGCCATGGACCTGCGTACCGGCGTTCCAGAATCCGGTACCTGAAAGTTGGCCCATGGTTGGCGTGGCGCCACTGCAGGTGCAAGCGGGACGGCTGACTAGCAAGCCCTTCTCTACCATGGTACGCCAATTCTCCGACGTCGATACTGCCGAAGAACGAAGCAGCACGACGTTGCGGGCGGCGCACACATGTCGATGCGCTGAAGAGATTGCCGTTCGTCACCAGTCGTCATGTCGTGGACGTGTGCGTGTTGGCGAGGGCGTCCCATCGCATCGTGCACCGGTGGGTCCTGCTATTCCTGGACATATCATCTCGGTTGCGGGCCAATCAGTCCCACGGGGTCTGTGCCAACGGCCTACAGACCCCAAACGGTTTCTCGTCTCCTCAGCCTGTCTCGCTGCGCTGTAGCGTTCTGCTCCTTCTCTCCCACGACGATTCCGCTGCGACGTCGCCAATTCACGGACCCAGCGCTACTCCGGCCAAAGGGACCTCCAGGACCACAGCGACGCCCGCTACTCCCGCAGTCTTTGGAGCCGCCGTCGCGCGACATCGACACCACGTCTGGTCCCACTCCTACCCCGTTGCACCGCGCACACCACCCTCTCTCCGACACACGACGCTAGAAATTCCCTCCGCCGACTTCCCCATAACCAGCCCGCCCGCCCGCTCCAAACGCGCGACCATCGCGAAGCAAATGCTGGCCTATTGATCGCCTTCCGGTACGTATCCTCTGCCATTCACCCCTCGTGACATGTGAGTGCTGATCGTTGCCCGTCCAGACCAGCCCTCAGTCAGTCACCTGGCGTCCATTCTTTTCCACTCATTCACTCGCTGCCCCCAAACAACTACTACTCCATTGACTGGACCCCTGCATTGGCTGAAGCCCATACGTCCGCTCATTTGCTCCTACCGTCTCTACAACACATGTTCCGTGAACCCGTCCAAGTCGCCACCGATACTCTGGAAGCATCACCACCACCACCACCACCCCCCACTTGGCCAGGCTTCCGTCTCTAGACCTTTATGGACCCCGTCGCCACGCCCACCAGGATATCCAGAGTCGATTCGCGCTTCCGTCACCGAGCGCAAATCGTCCCCCCACCCCAGGAACGTGCGCCAGAATCCGCAGAGAAAGAGGAGGAATCAACCAAGGAGCATTTTGTCCCCGAACCGAGAGCCAGAGACAGCATGAGCAGGGGTCATCGCTTCTTTCACCGCCGCGCAGCGCTAGGAAACACAAAGACAGTCGCCGTCGCCGTCGAAGTAGTTGCCACTGTTGATACCAACGGAAACCTCGTCGCTCAGGAGACTCTGGCGCCTGTCACACCTCCGGCCTCAAATGGACCCACAGCGCCAATCGCCGCAGCCGTTGCTGCAACTTCAGCCGGACCAAACCCCTCAGTAGCTCCTGCAGCCCAGCAGCCGCTTCCCTCCGCCCCTTTACCCGGTGTACCAGCAGTGCCAGCAGTACCTACAGTTGCACTCCCTGTGCTACCATCCGTTCCAGCTGTCCCACCATTCCCCAGTGACCTTGCTGTCCCAACCGTCCCTGCGTATCCATACTCTACAGGCATTCCCGTCGCCCAAGTCGCCGTCAGCTCCGACTTGGCCAGCGCATCCCCCATTCCAACAGGTGGCCCAGAAAGCACTGCGACTCCATCTCCAGCCCCAGATGCCGCACCGCTTTCAGACATCAGTTTCATCTTGAACTCGACTATATCCAGTAAGTTAGACGGCGCTGTCAATACCATCTTATCTGACGTTCCATAGACACCGCTTCCTTGTTACCATCTTCCTCCCTCGCTTCCCTCGACAGCATTTCTGCGTCAACGTCGACTGAACTCATTGCAAGTATAGCGGCAGTTCCAACTCGCTCGCCATCTGCATCCACATCTTTGTCAGCATCAGCATCAACATCACAATCCCGCATCTCATCTAGCAGAGCATCATCTGCTCAGACATCAGCAGAAACGTCTGTTGTTCGCAGCACGGATATCGTCTCTAATGCAGCCTCAACAACAGCATACTATGGAGGTGCCGGTGGGGATGCGTCTGGAACGGCGTTTGCCCCTGCTGCCACCACAGCAGCCACCTCTAACGCGGATGCTGACACCAGTCCTTCTCCACTCGAGACTCCGCAAGTAGTCGGAAGTGTCGTAGGCAGTCTTGCCGGCGCCGCGCTCATCCTTGCTATAATATTGCTGCTTCTGCGACGTCACAAGCGCAAACAGGGTGGTGCTCTACAACTTACTGGTGACGATCACACCGACAACAACCAGTCAATGAGACAAGCACCTACTACAAGCAGCACTTTGGTTCCTGTCGCCTTTTTGAACCGATTCTCCGCCATGTCGGGCAAGACAGCAGAAACCAACCTTAGTGGTGGCGAGCGGAGCTTCCAGAGGGTGTCGGGTCGCAAACTCCCGTCCGCGTTCAGTGAAGGCATGACATCAGATCAGTTCTCTCAAGGCGGGACAATGTCTGGTTCTTCCTTCTACCAGGACGAACACGGTATCTATGGCGGCCCGAGCATCTCCAAAGAGTTCGGCAAAGAGATTGGCGACAACTCGACAAGTCGAGAGTCGGGACAGATGAACATTCGGCCCAGCCCAGCCAGGACACCAGTCATACGGCATCCTGACGATGGCAACCCCTTCGCAGACCGCCACTATCTCAGCCCGCCACAATCTCCCAATCCAGATGTCCCACCTCGAGGCACTCTTGGTAGAAGTCTGCCCTCGGCAGATGGATCCAGGTCATCTCGGTTTACGGAGAACGTTTGAATGATTCCTTAGTCCTTTGTTGCCTTCTTACTCTCGCTCAGCATTTTCTTTACCTCACGACACGCATGAACGTGCGTACTACTCATCTCGCATTGCATCTGCCATCTCGCATCTCTCGTCGGTCTTGTCTTGTATACCCCAGGACCCGCTCGACACGTTCCACAACTCACCACATACTGTCCTTAATTCGGCCGCACTCTGGCGGCCCAGAACTAATGTCTTGTCGGTTTCCTCTACTGTTGCTGTTGTTGTTGTTTTGTCTTTGTCATACCAGTTCCATTCCTCACGATACTGCCGGATCAGAGCGGTGCCTAGTTTCATACCCCCGGTTTGATCTGATGGAGAAGTCCTCAGGTCTCGACCGTTTGTTTATATCGGCTTTATGGTCCGTGTATATATTCTAAGCTGCGCTTCCTAGAGGCCAGCCTTGTGCATATGGTCGCCATGTTCGTCATGTATTTTGGGGGCGCGTAAAGGAATTGGGACTAGAAGTCTCGGTGGAGTTCATAATGGTCTCTGCCAATGCTCAAAAGTTCAGTCTTACAAAACTACAGACTACATTTGCACGCGCCACGATGAAATAGTGATGCGAGGTACTTTGCTTCTATTTTCAGCATACACGTAGTATTTGATCCGCGCCAATCAAGTAAAGTCTGCCTGATGCATTTCCAGTCAGCATGGTTGATTGTTCGTCCCAGACCATTCAACTGTTCTGCATCATCTTGGAGGACTGATGATAGGGTAGCTCGATTCTCTAATGTCAGCGTTCTCGGGTCATTGGCCGCGCTCAGCCTCACCCGTGCTTGCCTAACCATAAGCACTGCCCCACGATCATCGGATGCACTTGCTAGTGTCACGTAAGGCTACCTCTACCGAAATGATTAAAGGCTCACGCTCTCCCATGTCATGCCTAATCCTACTACTATCTCATCCTTTCGTACCTAGCTTCGTATCTGACTGTCTTCTTCTCATTAGGCAAACATCAACATCAATACCATCATCAGACAAACACCATCACTACCATGTCCTCCCTCGCCCCAGCACCCCAACCCATCGGCGTGTTCCCCCAGTTCCTTGCCGCAGGCCCAGAAACACTCGTCCTCAAAGAAAAAGTCATCTCGCTCAGCGGCGACAGTTTCAGCATCAAGCTCGCGAATGGCACGCCAGTCCTCCAAGTCGAAGGAAAGGTCATGAGTCTGACTGGTCGTAAAAAGATGTTCGATATGCAAGGAAACCACCTGTGTAGTATCGTGAAGGAGCACTTCCATCTCCATTCCACGTATGTAGTGGAGAGTGCGAAAGGGGATAAGATTATGGAGGTCAAGAGTAGTTTTAAACGTAAGTCATGGCATCTGATTTGGACAGAGCGAGGAAAGAGAGGGAGAAGGATGATAGGAAGGGTATTGGTCATGGAGGTGGACGTAACTGACTGGTGCTAGTACTCGGATCCAAAGCGACAGCGACATTCACTTCCTCGAATGGGAAACAAGAAGTTCTCACCATGCGCGGCAACTTCTTCGATACTCAGGCTGATATTCTAGATGAAGCACAAGGCGGTACGTGTCTCCCTTCTCACCCTCTCCTCGCCATTTGAACGACAAAAGTTGTCGTAGCAGGACAGGATGCTGAGTATGATTAGGTCTGGTAGTCGCCCGTATCGACCGCAAGATTCTTAGCGGCAAAGACATATTCTTCGGCCAACAAACTTACGGTGTGCAAATAGCACCAGGAGTAGACATGGCTCTCATTGCTGCACTGTGCATCTGTCTTGATGAGAAGAACAACGAGGGCTAGAAGAACTCGCGAAGAAGGAAGAAGGTGCCGCTTGTCATGTCTTTGACGAACAAGGCGACTAAAGGGAGGAGTAAGACATGGATGGATGCAGCGACCAAAGGAAGGAGTGGGAGCTGGTTTGAGAGGGTAGAGGGCGTGGGTATGAGGAGAGGCACTTGGTGAGGAGATTGTTGTGTTGCTTAATTTATATACCCTTGGCGCTGAACGTATCATGACACTCTTCTGTCTGCTTTTTTATCTACCTCCGGCTGGCGTTGATGCGCAGGAACCAGTGCTTAGTTGTTCAAGGACTAGATACAAATCACCAAATAAGGAGGAAAAGTGAAGTATATGATCATTGTATTAAAGAGCGTCGTTCAATGCTCGCTCGTCTCCATCCGGACGTCTATGCACAACACCTATGACCCAACCCAAAAAGAACATGACAAAAGGGAAATCTAGTTGCTGAAAGTACAATAGAAACGTGGCAAGAGGCACGGCCCACAAGATATATGCTAATAATGCAGTTTACCATGAAACAAAACGACGGAAGAAGGTAGCGAAATATGGGGAATGAATAAAAAGCTACGCATGGGAGATGACAAGAACGCCTGCTGATGAATGCTATGCTTTACGCCAGAAAACAGCAAACCTGTTCTTCGACAACAAAACTTTTTGACCTCGAAAGTATTATCGCAAGTTCACGTCTGCTTCCATTACTTCTCCCAAGCCTTCCGCGGAGGGGTATATATGCCACCTTGCTGGGTATATGGCTGAGGTGGGAGGAGCTGCTTCAAGGATACGGCGGCAAAGTCATCGAAGACCATGTAGCTCAGGAACGGGCTGGATCGTATTATGGTCGGTCCAGCTACTATGTGCAATTACTTCGACCCGGCGAGCAATTCAGATCCTGGTACGTTGTGGCCAAAGTCCAAGATCAAGGTCCTACCATCCTGACTCGTAGCGACAACGCGTCTGTAATCGCTCTTGGCCGAGAGAATCCAGCTCGTGGTCCAATTCTTGTACACAGCGTATGTTTGTCCAGTCTCGTAATCGGAAACTTGTATACTCTGATCGTACGAACCAGAAACGATGCGACCGTTGAAAGCGTCGAGGAAAAGAGATCGTACAAGGCCGTCATGCTTGACCCGGCTGTGGACTAACTCGCCAGTGGAGGCATCGAACTTGTAAACGACGTGGTCGTTACCTCCAGCGAGAACGTACTTGGCATCATCAGAGAATTCAACAGCTGCGAGACCACGATCTTCGGACGGAAAATCTTTGATGGAAACACCCGTTTCAAGATTCCACAACTTGGCTACACCGTCGCCACTAGCAGAAACAAGAAAGTTGCCACGTAGCTGAACGGCATTGACAGGTCCTCGATGACCCTTGAGTGTGCGAACGCAGTTGCCTGTCTTACGGTCCCAGACCTTGATCATGGCGTCCTTGGAGCAGGAAATAATGTACTTGTCATCAAGGCAGACGTCTAGCACACCAGCCTCATGGCCACGGAGCCGGTACATGGGAACGTATTCTTCGCCAGTAATGTCCCAAACGATGCAGGTGTAGTCTGAAGATCCCGTCACCATGATTTCGCTGTCGTACTGTAAACACAAAATAGAGGCATCGTGGTAATCGGCGGGAACAGTGTATATTTCATTGCCAGTCTTGGTGCCATTGAGCGAGGCATGGCTGATGACGCGTTCAGGTCGCTCCTCCATAGGTGGCGGTGTATTGGCGGTTGGACGGTGGTTGGGACCGCCGTATACTCTGATGCACTTGTAGGTTTTCAGATCCCACACACGAATGGTTCGGTCACGCGAGCCGGTAATGGCCTTGTTCTCGTCGAATTGGCAGCAGTAGACGCTGTCTGTGTGGCCGTTGAGGTAGATGGCAGCAGGTGTTCCGGCCTTCCATCGGCTGTCGATTGTGCTTCTCGCTCTGAACATCTGTTTCCAGTCTTGGGCAGGCGCTGGGTTGCCACCCGCCATCTTGCCAGTACCCAAGCCGCCCATCTGTATCGGCGCAGGGGAGACGTGTACTTCGGGTTCGTGTTTGCGCAGGAAAACGTTTCGCCATACGTGCGGCGATGATGCGTGTTCGTTCCAGCTGCGAGAGACGCGCTCGGCACGTACAAGGGACGCGGCATCGAGGTTTGAAAGCACAGTGGTAGCAAGCTCGGCAGGCAGACGCTGGAAAGGATCAACTGTAACACGATTAGTGTGGCTCCACTGAGGACTAACAAGCCAACTCACTCATCTTCTTTTCGGTAACACTATCGGCGCGGACAATGGGGGAAGCACATGTCATGTCCACACCGCTCTCGTTATCCTTGATGTCGTCATCACGCATTGAGGTGGTGATGAGGCCATTGAGGAAGCGGTGGGTGTGTTCTTGCTCGCGCCGTATTTGGTTCTGGCGGTCCTGGTTGGCGGCGGCAGCTGCTTGTCGGGCGGCGGCGCCGGGCACGGATTGGCTGGGGTAGGAGATGGGCGGAGATGAGAAAAGAGCCTTGGTAACGTCTGTGGATGGCCCGGAAGCTGTGGGGCGACGGCGCATGCTACTCAGTCGCTTGAAGGGAGCGAAGGCCTTTGAGCTCGTGCTTTGTGGTTGCAGCTGGAAAGTGGGAATGCCAGAGTCTTGGTGTTGCAGGGGCATCCGTTGTTGTGGTTGCTGTGGTTCCATGGTAGACTTGTGGCTAGCGCTGGCAGAGGGTAGAGACTCGAACAAAGAATGTATGGAACCCCGACGACGCTGTGCGGGTGTTGCTGAAGACACGGACGACATGCGCCGGCGCGTCTTCTGGCGAGTAAAACTACCGGCGACTGCACCAAACGCGCGGGAGAAGGAGCTGGCCTGTGAATGCTGCGAGAGGCCGTCGGCGGCCATGGTGGCTTCATTGACGGCGTCCAACATGTTGGTGTCCTTGATGTCCTGCTGGTAGTGGGTAGGGAATGTCTGCGAGATGGTCCGCTTCATCGTGTGCGGCGGCGGAACGGCGGTGGTGTATGTGGTGTCGTCGTCAACGTCGGAAGAGGTCTTGGGTCGGTGCGACAGGACAGACTGCCTGCGATACATGCTCCCAGGGATGCTGACGGCTAAGCCCTGCGTGTTACGGTGAAGGGCACGGGGGGTCGACTAAGAGAGCGTGTGCGAAGCAAAGGGAGAGTGAAGGGTGGACGGCAGCGGAAAGCAGGGGTACGGAAAGGTCGAAAAGGCGAGGTTTATAGCATGAGGATTAGTACGTAGGAGAAAGGGAAAACAGAGCTTGTTAACAACGCCAGACGACGTGCCACACACTAGGCCAGGAGACTCAGCCGATCTCAAGCCGGTTCGAGTGCCTCCCGAACGTGGTCTGTTCACCAAAGCAACTCCAGACGGGACCCACCCCTTGCAAATTACGACTTATCTTATCATGCCAGCACTACACACACCGTCGACCTTTTGCTACGTATGAGAGTACCGCTCAACCACTTGCTGCTGCATCCGGCTTCTCCGCTGCCCTGCCACTATACTGCCTCCTGCGTCTCTTGTGCTACACCGCTCCCACGGTACGCCGTAGTCGCTGAGCGGTACACCATCTTGAATCGCGCTGAGCACACAACCCAGACCACGCGAAACGAGCCAAACCATCGCCCAAACACCATGCCATCAACCGCTCCACCCGCGCCAGCAATCCCCAGCGTCTATCGCTTCGTCTTTTGCTGGCTCGAGCCCGTCTCCATCCTCACAGGCGCCATCTATGCACACTTCTTCCAGTCCACCTACCTGCACTTGACGCATGCAGCCAGCTCACCGGGCGTCTCGCTTCCCATCTCAACATCCATAGTCATGTCACAGTTAGCGAATTTGTACCTAGGACTTGCTTTTTTGGAAGCCTCGGTCTTGCGCGCCACTCCAGACATCAAAGTCTGGAAGACCTTCTTGGTCGGCTTACTTGTCGCCGACCTAGGACATTTGCTCACTGTCCTGCCCCTCGGAACCCACATCTACTGGGCCTTTTGGCGGTGGAACGCCATTGATCTGGGGAACGTCCCGTTCGTTTATTTCCTAGCCGTGACGCGCATCTGCATGCTCCTTGGCGTTGGCTTCCAGAAGGAAGGTGTGAGCTCAAGATCGAAGATGACATGAAGGCGCATTGACAAATCCCGTCTACCATGATACAAATGAAATCTTACTACATGCATCTGTTTTTTCTGGTAATCGACTGAATTCGTTGTCATGCTTCGTGGCAAGCCTTCCAGTCATCGTCTCGAACATCGCAATCTCTAATCTCCACAAGTACGCCCATCACAAACAACCCAATTCCTGCCCGACATGGTTCGCCAATCCCAATTCATCCCTAGCTAGGCAGTCCAACCGAGCAAATCGCAGTCCTCTTTACCCCAGACCCACAACATAGACCCTGTCCATCACGTTGCGCATACCCATTCACCCGTCATCTCACCGACCGATGGGGCTCTCACCGCCCCCAAATCTCTTCAAAACCTTCACCACTCGGAACCATTCCGAGCCCCAAGCTGATCGCAACCTTGCAACCAGCAGCCACTGTCCACTGCAAATAGCAGCTTATCCGCGGTACCACCAACATGCATTACTTACGCCCTCTTTAACCACCATGGAAAAAGAAATCCCAAATTCTGCCTCGCAGTCTTTGTCCAACTTGCCCAGTCCAACAAAGCGCCGACACATCTCCATGCCATCCAGAGAATACCCATCGCGTGGCATGCCCGCAAAATGCACGCCATGCAGCATGCCGAGAATAGCAACTGCTCCTGCCTTCGCCACGCCTGCTCAGCCTCTTGCCCTGCATAACCGCCATCGCAAGCCAACACCAGGCAGGGCAATGGAAGCGGGAGTCCCGGAGGCGAGGTGCGCAAACGTCATAACGCCCTAGAATTTTTTTCCTTTCTTCTTTCACTTTCGCATCATACTCGGCCTTGTCCGCACATCTTTACCTGCATCATGTTGGGAGAGGCAAAAGAGGAAATAATTGTCGTTGGGAATCCGAATCTCACTCCATCTTTTCGCCGAAACACTAATGTTCAGTACCATGGATACAGGCGCTGCCAGCTGCAAATCCATGACACGCGCCTTGCATCATGTCATGTCAGAATTAAACGTTATTCTTTACGTTGCCGCATCCATGTTGGTACCATGGTTCGCACTGTGGAAAGGGGGTCTTCGCCGACTTGCCCATCTCGGCCTCGTCCGCTGGCCGTCATACGTACCGGTGCCAGGTGTTCGGCGGCATCATGTCTAAAGCGAGATGTGCGGAGAAAGGGTGCAATAAGCCCCGTGTCCACGATGCAGACTCGCTAATCGTACCGTGGTACATGTGTATCCAGACGAGTCTCTGACAACATATTTGTACAAGATCCATGGGAACGGCGCTTCTCTTAGCGTGGTGCATCACGTCACAGCTCCCCGCATCGTCGGGAAATGAACAAGGACATCACTTTTGCAGAAAGCCTGGCTTTATATCACGATCAAACAGATAATGTGTATCGCGAAATTGACGACTAAATAGAATTCCAGATACTACTTTCCCTGCACCACAAAAACCGGAAGTGACAGGAAGACGGGGTATAATATCCACAAACCATGCCAAATACAAGACCAAGTTACAAAATTCTCCTCAAATGCTGTATACACTCCCATTTTTCCCATTGCAGCATAGAAAGCGCCATGAGCCCACATCACCAACTAAGCTTTGCTCATACATATGTGATAGGCCGTAATCAATCCCGAACACCATGCAAGTACAGATAATATAAACCAAAAAGCGAGTGAAATCGTAGTACATGGCAGGCACATGAACAAAGCCCGAAGGCAAAAGAATAATCGAAAGTAAATGCAAAATGAATGGAACAGGATTGAGAGAGGGCAGCGAGAACAAGGCTCAAAGCAGGGATGGATCGAGTGTCCCGCCCATGCTGTCCATGGTCTTCTCGAGCATATCGAGGTCCATCATAGTTCCAGGGCCATAGTCTGGAAAGAGCATCATGTCTTCGCTGTCCATGGGAGGAAGAACAACTCCGAGATTCTGCAAGTCTTCTGAAAGTTGCAGGTCAATCGGAAGAGCGTCGCCCGTCATTGTCATTGCCCATGCGTCAGGCATATCGGCGTCTTTGAGATCGATGTTGATGAATAGGTTATCATTCTCCGAGATGTCGGACTGTCGTGTAGAAGGTGTATCCTTGTTGGATGATTCGGGTGTAGCCGATGGCGAAGCAGGTCGGGAACGGAGTGTCCAGGCGTGGTCTTCATCCTTGAGATCCATCACGGTGAATGGTCCGTTCGCATCAAGAGCCGCGAAAGTGTCTTCGTACGAGTAGTCAAGAAGCGACATTGGCAACATTGGTTGTTGCGGCTTCTGCTCTTCTTCCTTGGGCACAGGCTCTGGAGCTGTCGCTTGTTGCTCCTTCGGTGCTGATTTGGGAATACTGGCTGGCGTGGGTTTACCGCGAGCACCCGAGCCGGGGGTAGCCACCTTCGTCATTGCCTGAGGTGTCTTGAGCAGGTTTGAAGATGGTGAGTCCTTGACGCCTGTTTGCGTTGGCACACGCGCCATCGCCGTAGCCGTCGCTTGTTGCCCGACTGGAGTGGCAGCACTGTGCGAAGCGCCAGGGGTCTGCCCCGGTTTGACGGGTTGTTGAGGTACTTGTGGAGCAGCTGGTACAGGCTTCGAGGCACGTTTTGCGGCATTCTGATCCACCTTGGCTTCGCCAGTTTTCTGGTCAATATCAAGGTAATCGGCCATGGAATCCAGAGCAAACTGCATCGGATTCTCAACCTTTGCATGTATCTGACTATGCGCTTCTAGTTCAGCTTGGGTGTCAAATCCTCGAACGGAGTACTCGCAACTCGCGTCGTTGCATCGGAAAGTCGGCCGCTGGGGCACGTTGGGCGGTGGTTGTCTCTTGAGCTCAGGTGAGTTACCTGTGCCTGAACCAATCCGAGGAGACGCTCTAGCACCCGGGGTAGATGTCTCACTACCCGCGAGTTTTGCACGCTTCTTCTCAGGCAACACAAGGTTCGTGACTGGCCTCGCGCCCTCGAAGTAGTGTGCTGCTCCGTGACCCGAATCAGCTCCGATGGCAAACGGTGGACGGTCGGTGGTAGGGGCGGAAGGAGCCTTCTGGCTGCGGTTTTGTTGTTCTACGATTTTCAGATTTGCGGCATTAAGTTGAGCGGGCGGGGCATTCGAACCACCCTGAGGTTGCGGCTGCGACGCAGCTGATTGCTGCTTAACCTTTTCCATGATCTTAGCGACAAACTTGAGAGTCGCGCCCATATGGTTCTTAAACTCTTCAATAGTCAGAGTGACTTGAGGGTGGAGCGTTCCGTCAGCTTGGTCGAACTGCTGATATAAAAGTACGCGAGATGCCATGATCTGACGAAGAACTTGCTCAGGCTCAGAGGAGTCGTATGAGGCGTGGAAGATACGTAGAGCCTGGTCCACCTGCTTTAACCGATGGAGCTGTTCTTTCAGTGATCGCTGCAGAGGTACTCGCATCTGCGGCGGAAGCTGCACAGGCTGTCTGGCGGGAATGCTCTTCTCGACTTCGTCCATCAGCTGCTTGAACTGTCGTGTCCTTGTCGGATCTGCCATTCGTTGCCGTAGTTCTTCGTGGTTGACCACACCACCTCTTTGTTGCTGCATCTTGTTGTTCGATGGGTCCTGGGCCTTCAGCAACTGGGCCTTATATTGCGTCTGCTGAGCAGGGGTAAGCTTGGACACTTGCTCATGGGTAAGGTTGAATCCGGGCTGAGACTTTGAAGAAGCCATAGCAGCAGCTTGTGGCGTGGCATCATTGCCAGACTCTGTAGAGTCCTCGTTCGGTCGCTTCGTGCCTTTGTTTCCGGCGTTATTGGAAGGTTGCGACTGCATGGGCTGCGATTGTGGTTGCGGTCTGGCTGCTGCTTTTGGCTGGGGTGTTGCCTGTGTTGGGGGTTGCGCCGTCGGTGGGCGGTTGGGCTGATGCTGTTGAATAGGCATGTTGACTGGCGGCTGCGCTTGGTTACGTTGGGCTTGTTGGTTGAGCATTGCAGATTGCGCCTGCTGCTGCCTTTGTTGCTGTAGATTCTTCATCCTCAGTGAGATCATGAAACCTCGTAGTTGTTCGTCTGGTAGATTGGCTTGTGGCGAGCCTGCCATCCTTGCCCGAAACTGTTGCAAGTCCTGTGGGGTGACCTGAAGGGCGGCCATGTTCGGCATGTTCTGTTGCTGCTGTGGTGTCCTAATAGGGCCTTGGTTCGCATTGACTTGCACAGGTGGAGCGAGCCCATGGCCAGGCTGTGGTGTAGGATGGACACCCCCCACACCACCGGATTGTCTTACCATGTCCTGGAAGTGAAGAACTTGTAGCATGAGCAGCTTTTGACTGTCAACACCTGGTACCAGAGCGGGATTCTGGCTGGCCCATAGTTTCAGCTGCTGCCATGTTCTAACGTCCTGGGGAAGGCTGTTTCGAATTGAATTGTTCAAAACATTCGGAGGGAACGGTTTTGGGTCAGTAGCATGTATGATACCAGGGTTGGCTCGTAACAAGTTGGAGGCAGCTTGCAAACGCTGTTGCTGAGATGGCATTGGGGGACGCTGTGCCCCCATAGGAGGCTGTGGCCCAGCTCCAGGTTGTGGCTGCCCAAGGTTCATGCCAGGGCGAACCATATTGGGCATGTTAGGACCGCCAAGCATTTGACCGGTCATGCCAGGCGGCAGCTGCTGCTGTTGGTTGAACGGCATATTCGGCTGGCCTGCGTTAGGTTGGCCTGGTGGAAAAGCGCCGTTTTGCATGCCATTACTGCGACGAAGGTTCATCATGTAACTTTGTAGTATCACACGGAACTGGGGCTCCGGAACCTTGAGCAGTTGCTGCTTTACGTTTGGGTCGAGGTCGGCTGGCATCATATTCATGCGAACCTGATCAGTCAGCGGTTGCTGGTTGGCCGCTTGGACGGCAGCAGCTCTTTGTTGGGCTTGACGCATAAGTTCGGACAAGTTGGGATCGGCTTGGCCAGGTTGAGGTGTCATGATCGGAACATGAGCTTGAGGGGGGCGCTGCTGTTGCGGTGTCCCGGGAGGTCCTGATTGTCCTGGTGGAGGCATGGGTCGGTTGAGCATAGGCATAGCAGGGCTAGCTTGTTGCGAACCTCCGGGGAGGTTCAGTCCTCCAATTTGACCTTGGAGCAGCTGGTTTTGTTGGTTGCGTGCTTGAGCTGCCTGTTGCTGCCGTTGTTGTTCCAACCGCGCCTGGGCCTGAGCCTGGGCCTGTGCATGCGCTTGCGCTTGTTGCGCTTGTTGCGCCTGCTGCTGGCGGTGAAAGGCTTCAGCAGCCTGACGCTGCTGAGCCATAGCATTTTGAGGTTGGTTTTGTTGCGAGTTTTGACCTGGGAAGCCACTCATCTGACCACCATTATTCGGGTTGTTACTTGCAGGTACCACCGTGGTGCCCTGGTCTTGGCTGCGCATAGCTTCCATCTGCCGATTTGCTATCTCGGTGAAATCGAACTCTTGGTTAGGCTGACGTTGACCCATATTCATCTGCTGGCTCTGCATCCGGTTCGGCTGAGCAGCTCCTTGCATGGCGCCGGCATTCTGAGCAGCTCCCTGCTGGTTGAGGGCGCCTCTTCGGTAGAGCATGTCAGCATGTTGTCGGAAGCGGAGGAAAAGAGGGTTGACGCCTTGGGCAAGCAACTGCTGTTTCTTGTCCTCGGGCCAGGCTCGAATATCAGCTTCAAACTTGAGCCGAACCTCCTCTTTACAGGTGTCCATCAACTTCTTTGCGAATTGGTTGATGATCATTTGGTCCTGACGATTCTGCTGCTGGTTCTGATTGGCCTGCATGTTCGGTTGCTGGTTATTCTGACCCGGTTGGGACATGTTGGCGGGGTTTGCACCATTTACACCCATCGAAGACTGTCCTTGCGTCATGGGAACGGGCGAAACCTGCATCGGTCGCTGGAGTTGGGCGTTCGGAAAGGCCGGGTTGAACTGTTGTGGGGTTCCCTGCCTGGCGCCTTGCTGACCCATCTGATTCATCATGTTCATCTGGGCGGGGTTCATGCCGTTCATACCGTTCATCGGGTTGTTCATATTGTTGGGTGCGCCGCCTTGCATGCGTTGCTGCAGTTGTTGCTGCCGCGCTGTCGTCATGACGATGAGCTTTTGTTTGATGTTGGAGACGTATTGGTCCTTTGTTGACGAAGACATAAAGGTTTGCGTCTCGAACTGGAGGGCGGCGCGCATGGACTCGACTTCGGCGATCTCAGGCTTCAGCAGGCGGTACTGAGTGAAGAACTGAAGGGCCAGCTGACCGCGCTCCTCAGGCGGTGTGCCCTGCTGCCAGCCATTTGGAATCTTACCCTGCTGCTGCTGGACACGATAGTGCTGGATAAAGTGATGGAGTCCCGCAGCGGCCCGGTTTTGTTGCATGCCATTCTGTTGCATGTTGGGGTTGTTCATGATGGCGCGCGAACGATCGAAGGCGCGTTATGTCGCAAGCTGGCAGAGGTGCGACGGGTATACGCAGCGGTGCAGTGCCGCGGAAGTGCAGTGAACAGCAGCACTCATGCAGGCCGAGGGTTTCAGTGATGCGGCGGGCGGCGGGTCGACTACGGCGTCGAGGCGTGGTGTTTGGTGTCGAGTAGATGACTTGGTGAGACCCAAGATGGGGCGGTGACGGTAACGGGGAGTGACGTTGGCGAAGATGCGAGCGACCAGAGAGAGAAGCGTGTCGAGTGTCGTGGAAGAGAGCCTGGGCCTGCGGCTCGAGAGGGAGGATGTGAGAAAAGGCAGGGCCACAGCTGCTCACCTGGAGTGAGGCTTAGGTGAGTGAAAGGCGGAGGCTCGAGAGGACGACGCCAGCTGCGGCTCGAGACTGATCGACAGTTGCGGACAGGGCGCAATGTTAGCGCAGCACCCGTGGACCCAAACGACGGCGCCTAAATTACGCAGCTGCAGCTTTCAAGACGACGTGTCCATGGGGACAAGATGCAGCTATCGAAGTGGTGATGTCGCTGGAACGGCAAAGAAGAAGAAGAAGATGCAAATCCAGACGTGTTTGGGTGGGTGAGCGAGGAAGATTGCGAGAGCCGTCAGAAAGAGGGCGTGCGTCGCAGCCCAGGTGCAGCAATCGCGCCCGTCGCACCTACCTCGTCCAACTGCAGGGATCTATCCGCTAGCTGCAAGTGGTAGGCCCTCTAACGCTCCTGCCCCGGTCCGTCTGTGGTCATGCTCCAGAAGGCAGGAACAGCTGTCGAGGCAGACGCAGGACGACGTTTTTCTACGAGAGCTTGCTCGATATCGCATTCATCTATCCACACCAATGCCCCGGTCGGCGACTGCCCAAAAGTGCGCCTGTTGCGCCCCCCGTCTCTCGACCAGGTATCACAGGTTCGTCGAATGAATGGCGCTAGCGCTTGGCTGGGACCCGCCAAATCTTCCGCAGTTCTGGTGGCAGGACGAACCATGTGCTCTTGTCGTCTTCCCTCCTCCCCGCCCTGCCGGCCTATGCGTCGCTCTCATCTTGCTATAGTTCACCGTCTTAGCCTTTGCCAGGTGTTTGATCACTGTGGCAGCTCTACTATGCAGCGCCCGGTGTGCGTCTTGACGACTGCGGAGTTTCATCCCTACCGTCTGGTCGAGCCCTGTGGCTTTAAATGGCGCCATGCCGTCTATTCGATGAGCGAGGGTACGGCTGCTTTTTCCACTACCATCGCTCGCTAGCCACTTTAGTTGTCATCTGCGCCAGGCGGTGATCAGGGCACCAACGCCTTCACTCAAATCATCTCGTCCAATATCCCTATCGAGGACAGATGGCACCCGACAGATACAAGACGCCTGTCGCCTTCATAACAACTCTGCCTGTACTCCGTTGCGCAGTCCCGTCATCTGCCATACACACAGATCTAGAAGAGTAGCCAAGTGCCCGTATGCCGTTACTACTACAAATCATCAAAGGGGACGCCCACCTGACGCCCCCAGTCCTCTACTCAACTTCAAGCCAGGTCGCTGGTGATCGGCCACCCGTTGCCCTAATGGATGGTGAGGGACTAGTCATCCACATCTCGCGCTAAGGCGCCGGACGCTATGCTATGGGTCCTCCACCCCGTTCCGAACCAACACGCCGCTGTCAAAGCAGTCACCTTGCCTCTCGAATCCGCCTCTCATCCCTGACGCTGCTTTTTCTTCACCTCTCCCCCATCGAGAGCAGCTCCTTCAGCCCCGTACCACAAAACATGCCATCTTCCCTAATACGACTCCCGCTTGCCACGCCGCTGCGCCTTGAGTCTCTGGGTTCGCGTCGATCCTTGGCGGCGACGCTTCCCTGCAGCCAGCGCCATGGATTGGGCATGATCGCCAGGGAACCTGTGAGTGAAGCCTGGTTCTCGGCCAATAACACCCAGCGTTTGACACGTTTCTGCTTCCCCCCACCGCTGCTTCGTCTTGCATGGCCTTTGCAATTGAACATCGGACTTTTTTGCTTTAATGACCAAGAAACAAGTAGCATACAACGTGTCGCGTCGCGCCTCGTGACCCATATCACTATGTCATTGGCCTGACGCGTCATGACAGTCTACCAACAGTTTCGTGATAGCTTGGTGAGACGACTTGTAACCACCACCATCGAAGCATCAGAATCTTCTGGATCGCCTTGAAACTTGAGCGTTGTCATATCTCCTTGTGTGTCTCTTCTGAGTGTTCTGTACATTTTCGACTACTGTGGGAATAAATTGTACAACAATCAAGGTAGATTCATCGCGGTCTGAGTTGAGGTTCATAACGCGAGATTTCGAGGCAGGAGCAGTTTCTACGACTAGTCCGTGCGCTGGCCCTGATCATCGATTATCGATCGCGATTGAACATCTAACTTTATTTTTTTCCCTTGTCCTATCAATCGTGCGCGGCCATTACCGTGAGCTGATAGTGGTAGATGCAGCTATAGAATACTGCTGCTCAACTATGAGAACTGTAAGTGGAAAAGATGTACTGTACCCCTTCCTAGGTAAAACAATCCTGTATTAATTGCGTTTGTCTCTTCTATACTGAAGAGGATTCTTGAATTGTTGATGCTCCGTTGCGACCGAACAGCTGTTTTCAAAACTTAATATGAACATTGAAGAAGACCGCCTGACCTTCCACAACACGAGAGCTTCACGTGGGATAAGCAGGCTGACGAAGCAGACGAGATGCATTAACCTAGTTATTAGCATATCAAACTTTATGTGATCATGCAACGGCAGTAAAGCCCTGGTGTTAGCTTTCTGCAGGTTCGTCAGATATCCCTTGCAGCCTCTAACACCCTAACTGATGGATTGTGTACATTCCTTTTTTTCATTCGCCTCAAGTGATACCAAATGAGCAAGCTGGATGCTAGGCATATATTTCGTGATGACCAGGACAGCTGGTGTTCTAGGGTTTAACTGCTTGATACATTGGAGCTAGAACACAGATCATGGCATGGTGTCCTGCAGACCGTCGGACGTTATGGCTTATGAAGGCATGTGGACTAGGGCGTCTCAAGCCTACGGTTTCCATGTGTCGAGTGCGCAGCGTGGCAGTGCCCCGTGGGAAAATGTGAGCACGTGCAGCCGGATTTTCAACGTGAATAAGCAGCTCTCTTTGCGGCAGCACTAGACAATGGTGCGGGACACGGTACAATCACAGAGCACATGACATGCGAAGACGCATACGCGGGGTCGTTTGACGTAGTCTGATTTGGCTTGCTGTCGAGAGATCCACTCCATTTATGATACACTTGATCCCCAGCTAACGTCCACTCTATGCTTTCAAGACCTGTCGATACAAAGGAGATGTCGGGTCGCGAGGAGTGTTGGCTTATTTCTGGCCGAGAGCCGACGCGCGCTCATCTTCTAGCTTCTGGTAGAAAGCGTCACGGTGACGGACGGCGGGGACGTGGTAGCCTTGGAAAGTAAGAACGGGAACGGAAGCAATTTTGGCAGTGGGAAGCGCAGTCGCATCGCCAGTGGATGATTTACGTACCGTACCACCAGCCATAGCCGGCAGTGACGCCGAGACCTGCGATTGCCGTTAGCCAAGCTCCAAAGATGATGCGCGCACGTCTACAGAGCTCTCCAAGCCCCAAAAATACGGCACATGCACTGCCAGGTTTCTACGCACCCATGGCGACGGAGAGGTCGAGCACGACCTGTCGTCGGAGCATCTGCAATCCAGTCATTAGCATCCAGCCCACTACCGGCCAAAGCACTCAATGGCAGCACATACGCCGGTGATGGGTTTGACGGCCATTGTAAAAGTCGGTTTCGGGAGAGCGGAGAGTTTTGGGGCGCGGATGCGGGTTGCGGGAGCTGGTAGTCGTCGTCTGCGGCTATCTGAAGTTGTGGTGGTTCGACGGGGAGAAGTAACGGCGGCTGCTGCTGACGTAAGGCAGCCTTAGCGTCCCGCGCCTTGGAAGCTCCCGACTGAAAGACAACGGCAGGCAGTCAGGTGAAAGGAGACAACACCATCGAATACGAGACCGCACGCGCCTTCACGTCTGCTCCCATTGTCAGGGCAGTACTCTGCAACCGATGCGCCCTCGCACTCCCGCCCGCGCTCTTACCTACCGATAAACTCGTCCTTGGAACCACCATCGCGTGCACATTGTCCAGCCACGCCTTCACCCATAGCCGGAATCGCGACAACGAGCAGCATATGCCAGGCATCATACTTTCTCCCAGCGCCAGCAGCGAGGGCGCCATCGCAGGCATGAAGAGAGCACATGATGCGGGAAACGCGCCGACATACGGAGAGCCACATCCCAAGAAGCGGCAAGTCGTTCGGGCGCTGCACCACACGCAGCCCATCCAGCACATCGCCGAACCCATCAGCGCAGAGCTCGATCCCTTTGGCGAGAGCAAAGACTTTTTCGATCAGCAATTGCGCCGCGCAATAGCGATACAATGCAAAGGCGTCGGCTTCGAGAGCGCACGCCCGGACGCGTTGGAGGAGTTCCGGGCACTGGTCGATTCCTGTATGGCTTCACCTTGCGACAGAAACTGGCCATGAGAGCCCGCTGCACTTTTCAGGACTGACTCGTCACAGACATGACCAACTTTCTAGCACAAGTACGGACGTCAATGATCAGCTCGCGGCGCACCGAAACCGTAGCCCACGACTGGATCTACGCCCTCACATCTGCCGGCCTACGCGGCTCGGCTTCCCTCGAACAACATATTGACACAGGTGAAGTTCCACCATCGGTACTGCAACCATACTTTGAACCTCCTGCGCCTCCAGAGGCTCCGCCGCCCGATACCGAGTCCTTGCTGGGTCCTGGTCTTTCCGGCAAGGCGGACAAAGAAACGCGCCGTTATATACCAAAGCATTTCCCCGGTTTCCCATCAAAACACACGTACACAGCAACGCCGGTCTTTACAAAACGCGAAAATGATCCGCGCAAGATCCGGGAGAAGGCGACTGAGGAGGGCATCCTTGCCGAACAGAGTCTTCGAAAACTCATGGCGGCACAGAAGGCGGGCGTCCAGAAACAGAACGTTGGCAAGCGCAAGCGCAGCAGGCGCATGAAGGAGAGCGACCAGTTGTGGCAAGCCGCTATGAAAGACCTGCTCGACGAAGAGAACCAGCGAGAGAAGGAGGAAGAGCGGCGGCAAGCCCAGACGGACGAGTACGACGATGACTGGGATATGCCCCAAGACGCTCCAATACGGCAGCTGACGACCGATCGGAACGTCAACCTTGAGGAAGGCGTACATGTCAACTACGACCAGAAATACTGGAGAAAGTCCGCAACCGGCGCTTCATAGTTCGTAACACCTGAAACACGGCGGCAACATGATTTTGAAAAAGTCGTTCTACTACTGCATTCTGATAGCGAGGCGTTTGGGTATCTGCATTTCGGCCCTAGGGGGCTTAGGCACGCTTCAGGCATTTAAGCGGCGTTGATATTTTATTTCTTTGTTAGAAGTTGTACTATAGTCTGCTCACTTTACTATGCCAGAGCAGTCAGCGGTGACACATAGTGTGGCCGAGGCGAGCATAACATCTTTTCGTCATCAATCGATTGCATATCTTGACTGCATCTCTTCCTGGTCAAATTGTTAGTAAGACTCTAGAGCTGAAATTGTGATCATGAAGACATGCACTTGTTGTGTAAACAGGCACTGCATGCGTGACGTTGCACCATGCCATTTCCACCCTGGCGACCTCATTTCACCCCTCAACCCCTTCACCTTCCTGCTTCGCCTTCCACCCTTCCCACGCGGTGGTCTCAATATTTAATCCTCCTGGACAGCTGGAATGTCATTAGCCATACATCCAACTCCATCAGACTGGCTTTTCGAGCTTAATCACGACGCCAAGACCTCGGGCATTCCACCTCACTCAGCACTTACCGTCTCAGCAAGTGAACTAACGGCTCACATAGTACGCCAGATGCAACCGCCTTCTCCTTCGGCTGCTCTACAAGACATTTGTACTGTACCAATTCCTTCAGCACACAATCGCCCAATTTGACTTTTGGATTCCGTGGCTTGCCGGACGGCAAAGTGTTGATTGACGCTTCCAACTCGGAGACGGGGATCGTTGAAATCGGTGGTGCCATTGCGCGAAGAAAGGTATATCAAGCGGTCTGACTGCGGTCGACTAGAAGACAAAAGAGCGGGGTGGTTGTCTGAACGGAAAGAGGAAGATGAGTAGTGATGGAGCGAAGAGGCTTGGGGAGAAACTGCTGATGGAGGTGGATGTTGAGGATTTGAGCTCGGTATTTTGCATTAACACGACGATCCTAGAATATAATGTATACTAACGTCGGCACAGGTCTTCAGATCTCTTCGAGAGTTTGTTATAAGCGAGGATAACGTGTATGTGTTGTTGTTTACAAAACTAGACCAGATTTTTATCTTTCATTCTCATTGGTGGGATGAAGTACGAATCGATGCTGACTTTGAATAGTACCATTGGCACGAACACCACCCAAACATCACATTTCAATGTCCCGGAGATTGACCGTCTCATTTCTGGCTCAGATTCCCCGATCCTTGAAATCATTTCCTCACCACCAACACAACACCCCTCTGGAGCCGGGAAAACATCACTTCTCTATTTCATGATTGCCCACGCCATACTCCCCCCAACTTTCCGCGCCGTCTCAGTAGGCAGCCAAGGGGTAGCCGTCGTTCTTTTCGACCCACTACATCACTTCAGCATCCTTCGATTAGCAGAAACAATGCTGTCACTCGTAAATTCGCAACTCCTTTCCACAGACCTGGAGATCAATGAACCCCTAAAAGTCGATGTCAAAATCATGGTCAAGACCGCACTCCAACACCTCCATATCTTTTACCCTAAGTCCTGGCCTTCTCTGCTAGCCACTCTTGATTCCCTACCAGACTACCTGTTGAACCAGACGACTCCACACAAGAGTATGCACCACCGTATCCAGTCCATTGTCTTGGAAGACATCGACGCTTTTATCTGGTCGATACGAAACACAAACACTTCTTCTGTCTCCATGTCGTCAAACACTTTGGCAGTGGCATCCACACAACTCATAATCCGCCTCACCAAGCTAATCAAACTACTCTCCTGTGGCGCGGTACTTACATCGCATTCTACCTCACAATCATCATACAGGCCTGCTTTACCTACGTCATGGCCTCAAGGTACGTCGGTCACGCGATTAGCAATCCGCCGTGTAGACGTACCCAAGTTTGCTCCTGCAATCAGTGTTGAAGAGGCTGAAAAAGAGAAACTGCAGCGTTGGGAGGTAGTTAGTCGGGGGCGGTTTGAGTGCTGGAAGGTAGGCGCAGGCGCAAGAGATGGCGAGGGTTTTGCTTTCAGGGTTGGGAAGGCAATCGAGGTGGAGAGAGGAGGTCGAGGGTGAATATGGGGGTATTTTTAGTATGGAGGAGTCTGGCGTTTACGGAGTCTTGATATGATACCCATTGGCATACGTCTAGGAATGGCGATCATCAACATATGGTTGCTGATCAGAAGGCTGGCGAAAGTCGTGATGCATCAAAATATAATTGTCCCTCTATACTGTTTACACATATCGTATGCAATATCCATAGTGTGTTCGTGCCCTATGACCCAGATTTGAGGTCACCCTGCCCCAGAAGGCATGAAAGTCCGCGGTTGTGATCCATGTCTGGTGTAGATGCCTATACAGAATCAACAACGAATAACTGCATGCATAATTGCCTAAGCGTCTCTCCCCCAAAGCACCTTCCTCCTGCCCCTGTCCTCCCTAGCCTCTCGTCTCCTGGTTCCCCACTTCCTCCTTGCCGCCTCATGCTCCCTGTTTACCCTCTCCGCCTTGCCCTCGTTTTTAGCAACCATACCCACAAAGAACTGACTGCAACCGAATTTCTCCGCCAGCTTCACCCGCGTCCATGTATCCGGGTCCTGACTCCTCAGCCTCCTAATCTCAGCAATATCATTCTCGTTGAGATGGTAGGTCTTCTCGTATGGCTGTCGAACAGGCGCAGGCAGGGAGGCAGAAGGGCGCGGTGGAAGGAAACTGTCTGTGTTGAGTGGTGTGCCGGGCGCTGCGATGTGGGAGGATTGCCGTGTGTGCGCCAGTTTTGTTGCGTATTGTTGAGCGGCAGCGTATAACTGTCTTCTCTTATCTTCCTTGGGCAGAAACTTGAGCGGTGTGTGATAGACGTTTGGCGCCGAAGACGGGGGATTGAAGACCAATGTGGGAGCCGAGCGGTCGGGTGTGTAGGATGGTGCTTCGGGGAGTGCGAGCAGTTTTCTGTGCCGCCGGGTTGTGGATTCGAAACGACATTGCGTGAGGGGAAGGAGCGATGGAGTAGTCCGTTGCGATGGACATGCCCGAAGGAGGGATTTACATGTTGACATTGTGGAATTAGGGTTGGGTTTGGCGGGCTGCTTGAGGTGCACGCGTTGGCACGGTGCTGGCCGTCCTGGGTGGAGCGATGCCGAACTTTTTTAGTTGTTCCGCGCCGGGTGGTCAAAGCTGGGGCGGGATCCCATCACCCAACCCCAGAGCACATCCATAACATAGTCAAGATGCGGACACTACGAGCATAGGCGAGGCATGCAGTTTGCCGTTTTAAGAGAAGGTGTATGGCAGAATAAAGTATGCATCGGTCACTTGATCGGACCAGAGTCACAAGAAGAGAGCACGCTGCTGGACGGGTATACGCTTCTTTCGGAAACTAACGATTTACGAACCTACAAGAACTAGACCGGCAGTGTTATTCAAGTGAGCGACTTCTACTCGCGCTTCATCTCTCCTGCAACGTAGTGCAGGTAGGCTCCTAGTAGCTTCGTGCCCTCAATGTAGTTCCTCTTGTCCAGCTTCTCGTTTATCGAGTGAGCGGCGTCAGTCGAGCTACCCATTGGCAGCAATAGGACATTCTTGCCTAGCTCCTCCTGGAAGGTCAAGGTAACAGGGATGCTACCACCCTCTCGGGTCATGTCTGGCTTTACACCAAATACACGCTCGACGGCCTTGGCAGCAGCAGTGTAGTTGGGGTGGTTGGGGTCCTCCACCCACCACTTTCCGCAGTGCACCACGCTGAACTTCATTTTGTTCTTGGACTTGAGCTTGGCAAACTCGTCGTTGACATGCTTCTCAACCAACTTGGTAACTGGGTCGATCTCCATGTTTGGTACTGTGCGAATGGAGAACTTTCCGATGACCTTGGCAGGGATGACAGTCTTCGCGCCCTCGGAGTAGAAAGCACCCTCAATGCCGTGGAGCGACAGCGATGGGTATCGCATCTTGGACTTGAGCGCATCCTCCTTGTTGTCGTGGATCGTGACTTCACCACCCAATGATTCCCGCAGACCGTCCATGGTGAAGGCGATGGGTGGGTAAAGTGCAGCTTCTTGCTCGGTAAGCGGGGCGACGAGGTCATCGACGCCCTTGATGAGAATCTTGCCGTCGGGGTCGACGAACGAGTTCATGATGCGAACCAAGTCGGTCATGGGCTCGTGTGTCATTCCACCGTAGACACCAGAGTGCAGATCCTGACCAGGGCCAGAGACCTCTACTTGGTAGTAGTTGCAACCGCGAACACCGTATGTCAAGCATGGCTTCTCGGTTCCTAGCCAGTAGTTGTCTGAGATGCAAACAACATCTACGTCCTTGAAGAACTTCTTGGCCTCGGCGCGGATAGTGTCGTCCAGACCCTCTGATCCGTTCTCTTCCATGCCCTCGAAGCACATGATCAGGTTGACTGGGAGTTCTACGCCTGCCTTCTGATGTGCCTCAATCGCATTCAACCAGCCAAGAACTGGGCCCTTGTCATCGGTGCTACCGCGTCCGTACATGCGGTCCTTGTCGTCGATGGTGAGGGTGAAGGGGTCGGTCGCCCATCCGTCGGATTTGTTCGCGGGCTGTACGTCGTAGTGACCATAAACGAGAACGTTGAGCTTCTTCGGGTCGTCTCCGTAGCGTCCGAGAAGGCACGGTGGGAGGTCAAGGTGCTCGCGACCAGGCTGCTTTCCGAGCTCGCGGAGCTCAACGGTACCACCAAGCGCCTTGATCTGGTCCGCTAACCAGTGGCCCATCTGTGTGTTGGGTCAGCTGGGACACTGGACAATGCATACGTGCTTTGTAGTTTATTCGTACCTTGACGACATCAGGTCTCCTCTGGTCCTCGGAGCTGATACTGGGGATAGCAACCGCCTCCCTCAGCCTCTCGATGAAGTTGCTCTGCAAGTCGTCTACCTGCTTGAAGTACGGGTCGAGGTGCGCCATCTTGTTGGGTGGGTGATACAGATATGGCCAGGCGGCGTTGGGTAGTCGTTCTGGCGTGTAACGGTCGCAGCGGATAGGTGTTGCGACGAGTCTAGGTGACGGAGACGAGGAGAAGCTTCGTAGATGACAGAAGAGGCTTCTATGGGTGGCTGTGGCGCTTATTCGCGGTCTACAGGCTGAGATGAATCGGGCAGGTGCTCGTTGCTCAAGGGCAAATTGGGTGGGGAGGGGCAAGCGGGGCATCTTTGGAAGGGCACAGCGCCATCAGTCGACTCAAGCTTGTCAAGCTTTCGAGTGGAGCAGCTGGCCCAAGCGTGCCTAGGAGAACATGCACGAAATGTTCCCTGCATATTCTGGCGCGTGTGGTTGTCTCCAGTCTTTATTGTCATTCCAACACCCTGCATGCCATACAATTTGAAGCCGACCTCGCAAATAACAACACACAATGAGCTACAACAGACCGCTATGCAATGCCCGTGCAAATGCTGGAAGACCTCGCTAACGGGAGATACGAAACGTGAAATGGCCTAGACCAGAGTAAAAAAACATGAAACTGCAATATGTATCCTCCATCGTTAACGACATGAAATTACACAAGGTGCGACGTCCGACACGATAGTACCGGAAACATCGGCATCCATCATTCGTTCATCGTCTTGTTCTAGGTCCTACTCTGTGTCGGACTGAGTTCGTCTCCCGCAGCTTGGACGTCGGCTGAAGTACCATCATCGAAGGTGGGTACAGTAAAGGTCATGCCTCCAGACTGAACTTGCTGACCAGATGCCAACGAATCATGACTAGCACTTTGTTCATGGGCTGTTGCCTGCGACGTCGAACTCGAGAAGTTCTGTCCGAAGGTGCTTGAAGATCCAGAAGAAAAGTCTTGCTTGGAGTAGTGGTCCGGTGCCGAGTTTTCATCACCATGAGCAAATGAACGGTCGCCGAAGCCTGGTCGTACATCCGGTGCAGGGTCACTGCTAGCAAAGTCCTTTTCTGCGACGTGCGGGAAAGACCCTGGAACAGCCTGGTCATTTGCCCCATCAAGCCCAAATGAAGTGCCTGCTTCTTTCTTCTCAACGACTGAATGCTCGGGTAGCGCACGCATCGGGGGGTTAGGGTGCTCGTCTTTCTTCAGATGCTCAAACTCGATCAGAGATGAACGCCGTAGCTGGTCAAGCTTCTCCTCGGGGTTCTTCAAAGTTTAAAGTCAGCTCGAGTCTTATCAGGGGATTGCTCAAGCGATGGGCTAGTGAGAGGGAGAGAAATCATATCAGAGAGGAATTCTGGTCAAGAGGCGAGGAAGTCCAGACTGGTCAGAAACACTAGCAGCACACTACTAGGTCTGGTTCCAGTTCGTGGAGGTGGAAGGATTGAAGACGGAAACACAGCGCCCACGACTCTCGAGGTCTCTTCGGTCAGAACATCGGTTTTCGGTGTCAATGGTGCCTCAGCAGTCGGGCTACATCTGGAAAATTGGAGAGGAAAAAGGGTTCGACACAATTGTGGTCGCCATATCGATTGACACACGACGATGCTAGAAGTTTGAGGGTTTGACAGAGGAAAGTGCGCATCGCAAACGTACCCATTCGGTCTGATCCGGCACTCCTGTAGCAGAAGGTAGTTCACCTGCTTGGTTTCTCTCTTCGCCCCAGAACATCGGACGACGGACTGGTGCAGGTGTCACAGGAAGGCTCGGTCGCTCTACTGCAGACGGGAAATCAGTGAGAATAAGGCTCTCGCGACGGTTCCTACGTTCCAATATGGGCGAACTGATATCATCCGTGCCTGTGGTCTGGCGTAGGGACTGGTTCTTGCCCCGTATTCCACTCATGTCCGATATGGCACGAACGTAGCTATCGATACCTGGAACATTATCCCAGGCATTTACGCCACTATGCTGGTAGGACTGCCAACCTTGGTCAGCAAAATTCGAGGCAGAAGCGTTTGCAGGGCTTCTAACTCTATCCACTCCGGTTGGAGCTGTTTTATCACTCTCATCGTAATGTACGGTTGAAAACGCGTGTGTCGGGGACATTACTGTAGGTGTCGGTTCTGGTGACAGGTCTTCAGCAAACACACGCGTCGGCTTTGGCCTGTCCACCTCTTGCTCCCATGGAAAGATAGGCTTAGGCCTCTCGGCAGGTTTGGGCCTGGTTTCTGGGACCTGGTACCACATGTCCCGCGGCGCTTCCGGGTAGGCGCTTGGAGCCTTGAAGAGCGACCGGCTGTCACTGAAAGTGTACGTTTGGGTAGGGAAGTTGGCAGCTTCGGGTCTCGACTGCGCTGGTGGCTCGAACCTGTATCTGTTAGTATGATGCGTAGAGATTTGGTAGCTAAGAAAACGTACTTGGTTGCATCCCACTGCATCTCAGGCGCAGAGAACTTGCGTTGTTCGACCGTAGGGGTTGGCTCTATTATACCTTGGTCAATATTCTGAATCTCATCTCCAGGTTCGGTCATAGGTGGCTCGGTTATAACGGCAGAGGCCTCGATAGGAACAGGAATAGACGAGGAAGAAAGCCCGGAGTCACCATGAGTGCTCTTTGCCTCACCAGCTCGTTGGCCCCCCTTTGCCTTGTGTAAATGTCTCTGATGCACCGCCCACCATCGCGCTACCAGTTCTCCATAGACGCCGTTTCCACCCGCATGGTGGCCTGACCAAGGCTTGTTCTTGCCGATAAAGTGGACAGCGGCAATGTCGCGCTTGTAGTAGCGGTATGCTGGCTCCCATTGGTATTCGGCGTTTGGCGTGCAGTTGTAAGTAAACTTCAATCGTTGCCAGGGACGGTGTTCGAAATACTGGTTCAGTAAGCCTTGATCTGCGCCATCGAAACTGTCACCAGTCGCTGCCATGGTCTGGAGAGCCCAGTATTCGCCCATGTCTGGTTTGATAACCATGACACCGCTGTTGAAAGCATCTGGCCAGCCGATATCTGGCGCTGCAGCAAACGAAGCCTCAATGTCGAACAGCTCGTCCAAGGCCCTCAGAGCTACCACATCTGCGTCGAGGTACACGAGCTTGCGGAACTGCGTCTGTCTCCAGAGAGCAATCTTGGTGAAGGCAAAAGCCAGATCGGGCCGCCCCATGACATAGAGGTTCGCGGGATTGGAGTTTCGTATGCGCTCGACAGGAATCAGGTAATCGTAAAGCGCCTTGAGCTCCGAGATGGTATCAGCCGATAGCGTCTCCATAGTGACGAGCACAGCAAGCTTCTTGGTGGTTCCGGCATCGCGCAGAGAGTTTGCAAGAACGACTGCGCCCGGTAGGTAGGAATCGCTCATAAGAAGCTGCAAGACATGTTAGCTCGCGTGCGCTGGACCACATTCATGTAGCGAACCGTAATGTACGCATCCTCGAGTGGCTGTGCCATCTTGATAGATGCTGAAGAACAGAGAAAGGTGGAGGGCAAGACTCAAGCGGGCGAAGGGTCAGGCCTGGGGAGCTGCGTCTAGAGGAGAGTAGAGCGCGGAGCTTCAAGACAGTTGTGGTAGTTTCCCCGCAGCCAGCAGATATATCGAGGAGGCGCTGCTGATCTGCAGTGCAACTTGTGCCGAACACGAACAGCGGTAAACTGCAGCACGGCAAATCTAAGTACTCCTCAGAGGCACCTGGTGCAAACACTCCCACGCGCACTCGACACTCTGAGTTGTCAAGGTCCCTTATTCGGGAAAGGCGCCTACAATATCTGTTGGGAGATTGTCTGGCACAAACAACCATGGGTCCACGAGCTTAAGGGAGCTTGGACCAAGCCTCGAAGCTCCCGAGACCATGACGCATGCACCCGCTAGTGAGCCGTTCTTTCATCATTGTGCACGAACAACCCGCCGCCCTGCTTTACGTCTGCTTGCTTTTCATCGTAGCCGGTGCTGTCCTCTGCATGCAGTGTGCAGCCCCAGCCTCCCAACGACGTCGTCGGTGCTACGTGGGAAGCCACAACTTTCATTTGCCAATATCGCGCCACCAATTGTCCCCGCATCCATCCCGCGCCTTCATCTCGGCTAGGGATGCCTTGATGCTGCCCAACAAGACAACAACTCATGTGCTTGGGAAGGACTCTGCGTGACCGTTGAAGCGTGTTCTATCATCTTAGGTGTCAGTGTATCTTCCGCACTGGAATTGTTTCGAGCTTTGGGGTTCTCGCGCTGCGCATGTCCCCTTCAAGGTTCGACATCCAACGAGAAGCGCTGGCTCTTTGTGTTCCACTCGTCGCTCGCGTACACTAGCATAGGACTCTTGGAAGCCGCGTACCTCGCAAATTGAGAAGAATGGAATCCCGAGTGCACCACGGATGCATCCACGAGAAGTCGTAGATCTGAACGTACTATACTAGAGTACAGAAGCCGCAGGCTGGGGGTAATCGTAACCCTGCGCTGACTGAAACGAAAAGGGTTGAAGCCATGAAAGTTAATCACGAGTTGAAGTGCAAACCCTCACTGTGTCGGAGAGAACAGCGAGACCGATTGGCTTTCTGGGATCTGGGATGAACCATTGGAGATTAGCGAGTATCTTAGCTCCGATCGATGACAGCATTCATTCCAGCCATGCGGTTTCCCGCCCATTAGTCGAGAGCATTATGATCTTTATTGCAGTTTGGTGGACCCATCGCATGTAAACGCCCGAACAATTCCCCATTGGCAGTTTTTGAAGCTTCATCTTGTCAGCTACAGCCGCTTCACAACGACGTGTCAAGATGACCAAACCACGAGTCATCTACTGGTTTCGGACCGATCTACGCCTTCATGACTCTCCAGCTCTCAAAGCAGCATTGGATCTCAAGCCAGAATGTCTCTATCCCATCTGGACTTGGGATCCGCACTATGTCTATCGCGCCCGAGTTGGCTCTAATCGTTGGCAATATCTGCTCGACTGCCAAACCAATCTCTCAAAGTCGATAACAAAACTTAATCCAAAGTCGAAGCTCTTCCTCATTCGAGAGGCACCGCAAACACTGTTACCTAAGTTGTTCAAGGCGTGGAAGATTACGCACCTGGTGTTTGAAAAGGACACCGATGCGTATGCAAGAGAGCGAGACGAGAAGGTGACAGAGCTTGCGAAAAAGGCCGGTGTCCAGGTTATCGTGAAGACTGGGAGAACGTTATACGATCCTGATGAGTTGGTCAAGCATAACCACGGAAAACCGACAATGAGTATAGCCCAGGTACAAGCTGCAGGAAAGAGAATTGGACTAATTCCAAGACCCATACCTGCGCCAAAATCACTGCCCGACCCAGGAAATACTGATCTGAAATTTGACCAAGAGAAGCCAGAAAGCGAGCCGGATATCAACGCAATTCAGAGAAACGGGGACGAGGCTTCGTACTGTGCTCTAGCAGGACCGAATGGAGACTTTGCAGTACCGACAATGGAAGAGCTGGGCCTAAAGCCTGCAACCACACCACACCGCGGCGGTGAAACAGAAGCACTACAGGCTCTGAATAAGATCATAGCAAACACCGACTATACAGCGACTTTTGAGAAGCCCAAAACCGCACCCACCGCTTTTGAACCCCAGTCAACCACCCTCCTTTCGCCACATATGTAAGCATTGTCTTTGTATGAATGACATACGATACAAGCACTGACTTTGTACACCAATTTTGCAGGCATTTCGGGTCTCTAAGCTGCCGACTCTTCTACTGGCGTTCTCAAGACGTCGTTGACAAGTACAAAGGAAAAGCCTCACAACCACCCACCAGCCTAACAGGCCAGCTACTGTTCCGTGATATGTACTTCGGCGCGCAAGCAGCCCTAGGCTATTCCTTCGGCCAAACCTACAACAACCCGCAATGTCGTTTCATCCCCTGGCATCTACCCTCTAAGATCGATACCAAGTCCAATCTCATCACCGGCAAGTATTTAGTAGACAACGCCGAGGCAGAAACTCATTTACATCGCTGGAAACACGGTCAAACAGGATTCCCCTGGATCGACGCTCTGATGCGTCAACTTGCTCAGGAAGGTTGGATCCACCACCTTGGCCGCCACGCCGTTGCTTGCTTTCTGACGAGAGGTGGATGTTATATTGATTGGGAGCGTGGAGCAGAGGTATTCGAAGAGTGGCTCATTGATCACGAAGCAGCATGTAATATCGGAAACTGGCAATGGCTGTCGTGCACGGCATTTTTCGCACAGTTCTACCGATGTTACTCACCCATCGCCTTCCCACAGAAATGGGTAAGAGATGTTCCTGCACGAGCTGCATGTGAGGCATGCACTGACTTCATACATGTACATTTTAGGACAAAGATGGAGATTTTGTGAGGAAGTACGTTCCAGAACTGGCAAACTTCGATAAGAAGTATATATACGAGCCATGGAAAGCGCCAATTGCAGACCAGAAGAAGTGGGGGTGTTTGGTAAAAGGGGGTGGGTCTGAAGAGGCCGGTGATGGCGCGATGAGAGTCTACCCAAAGCCTATGTTTGACTTTGGAAAGAGAAGGGATATTTGTATCCAGGGCATGAAGAACGCGTATCATGTCAACCTCTATGGGAATTCGCCCCAAGTTCTCGATGGCACATGGCGCAAGCTCTTTGACAATGAAGCAGAGGGACCTACTGAAGGAAGCAAAGGACCACCAGGTGCGATGATAAAGGAAGAAGATCATGAAGATGCAGATGGACATGAAGAGAACATGCATGTGGACGAGCCGCCCAGCCCTAAACAAGCGAAGAAGATGGCGATGCGGAGCGATCAGAAAGCAGGACATAAGAGAGAGGCAAGCCAAGGAACACTGGATGGAATGTTCACAAGAAAGAAGAAGAAAGACGGAGAGATCTTTCCTAACGAGACACACTTTGGGTAGCCGTCTTTTTGAGCAACAAGTCCATTCATAGAGGCTACCACGATACGACAAGCGAGCAGCAATGTATCTGAGCCCGACTCAAGTAAAAAAAAACAGGGGTATCACACACGCACATCATCATTGCCACAACTTAGGCACTTGCTATCCGTCCTGCACCAACGACTGTCCAGAATGCCTCCTCTCTCTTTTCCCTCTCTCCTTTGCTCCCCCTTGAATCGCCCAACCCCCTCTCTTCGGCGTTTACATCTGCTTCAAATTCCAGACGCACGAATATTGGTATCTCAAGCAGATCCTCGTCTTCGTCCAACTCGTCCTCGCCCCCAAGCTCACTAAGGAAGCCCGGAATGACTTCGATAGCCACACTTGTCCAGTTCCTCCCCTTGTCCCAAATTTTTCCTGCTTCGATCTGCCCTGTTTCTGCGTTGATGGTTGAGCGGCGGGGCATGGGTGCGGGAGATGAGGCGAGTGCGTCGTCCCAGACGTCGGTATTGGCGCCAACTTCGAACTGAGGGCATAATATTGTCACACGGGACTGCACTTTGCCAGGAGTGGTGCTTGAAGTGGCTAATGTGACCTGAATAGGGTCGAAGAGCGGGTTGCTGACGTGTAAAAGGAAGTGTGTCGCGATCCCTGATCGGAGATTGTTGTAATTGAAAGGAGGTTGCGGGGTGGGCATAGAGCCTGGAGGAAGTGGTACGACTGGGTTGGTCGGTGGTAGTGCACGAATGCTGAGTCGGGGAATGTGGTTCAGTGCCAGCAGCTTGATTTTGTACCGAGTTGATGTTATCTTGGACTCGGGTTTGGATAGGATGTGCCGACATGACCGGCATCGTTTCGATCTCTTTGTGCAAAGAAGAGTTGGGACTGGTCGGAGCTCGTTACTGAATTGCACGTAAGGGTCGAGTTGTGCGAGCTTCTGGGCAGGCGACAAAGTACTACCCCACCCGTCCCGCTTGATGCGCTCGATCGCTGCGCTATCTGCTGCAGGGTCATGGGTGACGAGGCCCTCTAGTTCTGACGCAGCCTCTCGCATAGGCGTTGGCTTGTTACGTTTCTGCTTTTTCGCTGTATTCGTCGAGTATAGATTCATGATTCGGGAGTAAGCTGAGGGCGAGGAGAAATTCATTTCCAGAGGGTTCGCCGGCGTCTGGGATTCGAGCTGTGCTTTGTAAAAAGCACCGAGGTTCGAGAAGAGATCGTCGCGGGTCGGTGGTTGGTGGTTTTCTACATCCATGACTGTCGAGTCGCTGGAAGGAGATAACGGGTTTCTGGAATCTCGCTGCCGAGCCTCCAGCTCCTTGCGTCTCTCGCGCTCCTTGTCTCGCTCTTTGGACGTTGGTATTGGTTTTCCTCCATTTGCTATCCGCGCAATCTGCGAATATACGCCCGTGTGCTTCTCAAACTCTATACCCGTCTCTATAGTACTCCAATGGCAGTACGGACAGGCCAGTATGTGTCGATCGGGCACTCCTTGGTCGGCATCGGGATTGTCGAGGAGGTTGACTATGAGAGGCGAAACGCACACAGGGCAATTGAAGCAGTTACGGGTGCATCGATTGCCATCGCTCTTAACCACGGAACTTGGTACTTCGAACAGGCAGTTGGGGCAGTACCAATTCAGCGTCTCCTCTATCACGCACCGTGGACACCGTATTTGCAGGCAATCTTCACAGTAAAGAAGGTGCTCGAGTGGATACAGAGCGTAGTTGGAGCGAGGGTTCTTGGGATCCAAAGTTTCTTCGTCGTCGTCAAAGGCGGCGAGGACATGCGAGGTGCGTTTGGTAGAAGTCGTCGCATTGCTGTCGAAGCAGTCGCAGGCGTAGTACGTGTAGGGAAAGGCTTGTGCCATGGCGAAGCAACCAGTTCGGATCGGCAGTCAGAACACGGTCACTGCTTCTCCTCTTGTCTAGCCGGCAACCTGTGGGTGTCACGATGTGGGAGTCGTGGTGGTGAACTTCTGGACATGGCGGGTCGATCGCGGTGGAGCCAAACGCCGATTGGTGCAGCAGCTCCAGGGTCTTGACGTATTGCTTTCTCCGTCTTCTCGCTCTTGCGCGTCCCTCTTCCACTCCTGCAATATCCAACCCCGTTGCGCCGTCAATTCCTGACCCTGCTGGAACCATGGCGACCTTTTCTGTACGCGCTTTCATTCCACCACTAAGGCGGCGGTGTCTACCCCTCCAGGCGACGCGGCGATATGCCGTACAAGCTCCCGGCGCCCCCATGATGGAGATATTTAGCGGCCAGCAGAAATGGCTGCAGAAAGAGCGGGCAGCAGCAGACAGAGAAACAAGCAGAAGCGTGGACTATCTAAGAGACGAAGTAGCCTCGAGGTTGTGTGAGCGAGTCCTGGTACGACAATTGGTTATCAACAAAGAACAACAGCTAACACAGGCACAGGACATAAACCGCCACTTCCCTAAAGTCCTCGATCTCGGCGCCAACGCATGCAACCTATCCCGCGCACTCACCTTGCCCTCCGAAGACGCCCCGGATAAAGGCCCACGGTCAAAGCGAATTGGAACAATCACAGCGGCAGACTCCTCGGAAGCACTCTTGTATCGCGACGCCGATTTGCCCTTCAACAAAGAGATTGATATTGTACGACAAGTTCTATCGACATCCGAACTGCTGCCATACGAGGCCAACTCTTTCGACGCTGTCTTGAGCAGTCTGAGTCTGCACTGGATCAATGATTTGCCTTCGGTGTTGGCGCAAGTGAACAACATTTTAAAGCCGGATTGCCCTTTCATAGGGGTCATGATGGGAGGAGATAGCCTTTATGAGCTCCGTACATCGTTGCAATTAGCAGAGCTGGACCGAAGAGGCGGCGTCTCTACGCACACCTCGCCACTAGCCGATGTCAAGGATGTGGGCGGTCTACTACAGAAGGCTGGCTTCAACCTCCTCACTGTAGACGTCGACGACATTGTAGTCGACTACCCCGATACATTTTCCTTGATGAAGGATCTACAAGCCATGGGCGAGTCGAATGCTGTACTCGCACGGGAGAAGGGCCCTATACAGAGGGATGTCTTACTGGCCGCTGAAGGTGTTTACAAGGAACTACATGGTAACGAAGATGGTACGCTTCCTGCGACCTTCAGGTTGATCTACATGATCGGTTGGAAACCTAGCCCTAACCAGGCTAAGCCACTTGAGAGGGGAACTGGCATGTTCAGTATCAAGGACCACCTAGAGAAGAACACCAAATCTGGTGAAGGGAAGGAGTAAGCAACATATGCGAATGAAAAGCAGAACCTTGAAAGCAACCTACTGTGTTTGTTCACTTTGTGGTCCATGAAACACCATCATTCAAGTCAAACTCAACGTCGACGAGCAACGCGACGATGAAGTCTAAGAAGACTCATGTACGAAGAAGCTCATTCTTTCCAAGTTCCACCTCTAAGCACTACAACCTACCCGTAAGGCATACACTATGTCTTTTTTATCAAAGTTGTGACCCAGATATTTACGTATACCTATCTCTAGGGAGGGTTTTGTAGTTTGGGGTAGAATTTAAGAAACTGAAGTCCTTTGTAAAGTACGTATCGGGATTTCGCATGTGAATCTAGTTGAGCGATATCGTGAATCCCAGTTTACGTTGTGGTACATCTAGTCTCACATAGCATCATCGATAGCTTGGAACTGGTGATTATATACCCTACTACGGAGCTCTTTGTGCAAATACATGGCATAGCGCTCAATGTGCCCTCTCTTGGAGATATCTTATTTGGTCTTGGTGCTAGAAATGGTAGAAGCCGTCCTCTCAGCTCCGCGGCTTGCTTCACATTTTTCAAGCGATTCCCATCATATTCTCGCTAGACGATGAGGCTGGTGCGCGTCATATCGCCCTTGCGCACCTCGCGATCGCAGGTAGCAAGGCCCTCACCGTTCTTGACGACTTCGATTTTGTGGTTGCGCTGAGTATTACAGAAACTCCTATTAAGACCAGCCGTGGTGTGGACCGAGCGAGTAGCGCCAACGAACTCTACGCCTGTGTTGGACTTTTCGTCAATACACTCACGCGCCATGTGTCCTTCCCCACCACAGTTGAAGCAGATACATGGCTCTTTGGACTTCGGCTTACGACGCGGATGAGCTGATGTCGAGTAATTGTTGCTGTCTCCAGTGACTAGCTTCTCTTGCATGCAATTGCGGGCAATATGACCTGTCTCGTTGCAGCTAAAACAGACTGGGGGCCGACGCTCGGTGGCATCTTTGACTGTGACCGTACAGTTCCGAGCTATATGACCCTCACTTCCACATGTGTAGCAAGCGAACGCCTTACGAGCCTTGTGAAGCTGGACAGGCTTTTCCGGTTTAGAAACAGTGTTTGGGACAAAGGAGCCTTGCAACTTGGCATTGCAATTGCGCGAGATATGGCCCTTGTTGCCGCAACTGTAGCACTTGAATGGCGTTTTCGACTTGAGATTTCGCTGAGGAACTTGCCGTACTGAAGTAGCCGAGATGTCCTTACGAGACAGGATGACATCAGCCATGGGAGTCGCGTCAGGTCTGTTTTTGCTGAAAAGACCCGGAGCTACGCTGCCCGTCTGCCTAGCTTTGTTCACGGGCTTTGGGACAGGCCTCTTTGGGCGGACTGTTCCAGCAACAACGGCTTCGATGTATTTGATAGCCCAGACGGTATACTGGTTGATAGTATTCTGGTAGTACGCTTCACTAGTCTTGACACGAGAGATGAAGAACTTGTCTATGGCATCGCCGAGAGCCTTACCAAAGGCAGCGTTCGTCTCAGCAAGTCGTGAGTACGGCTCGTAGTTGCGGGTCCATGGGTTCACCATCTCCTCGAAGAGACAGTGTAGCAGATGCTCGTAAAGCTCTGGGATCGAAGTTTGGTAAAACTCGATCTCTTGAACAGTAGGGAGAACGTTGTAAAACTTTCCCTTGAGCCGACTATAGACGCGCCTCTTGAGTGACTCGTACTCGAGAAAGTCACAGTGCTGGTAAATGACAGTCAAGATGCTGGAGCTGAGTGTCTCGAAGGCGTCTAGTCTTACAATATCACGCTCGCCAGCTTGCATGTACTTGTAGATCCAAAGAATGGCTTTCTTAGAGCCGTTGGGAATCGTCAAGACCTTGTCTTGCCCATCGATGAGCTTCTTCTGTGCAGTCGGAGAGAAATGAGCCAGCAGCCTTACCGAAGCGCTCTCCAGACCAATGTATCGGTTGCCATCCGGGCCAACGACAATGTTGATCTTAGGGCCTCTCTTTAACCTGTATTAAGAGTTACTACATGTAAAGTCAATGTAAGCAATGACCCATCGAGGAGACTTACTCAGCGAGCTGGTTCAGCGTAAGGGATGCGTCATGTGTGGACCTTCTTACTATTGCCATGTCTCCGGCTTCGCAAAGTAGATTGACTGTTGTCTCTTACTCAACGAATCTGCTATTGACTGTCAATAGAGGAACGAGTAAACTGATAGTATATATTCGATCCAAAGAGCTGCATAGTAGTTCAAGTTGTTGAGGAAGTTCGTGCATGGCAAGACAGTAACGTTGTGGTTACTTACTGTAGAGCTAGGTAAAAGTTGTGGTTGAACCGGTAAGAAGTGGAGGGACTAGATAGAAGAAAGATTACGAGTGTATGGTTATATAGTCAGAGGCGCTTTGGAGCCAATGTTGAAGCACTAATGGATCCGCCTAGCAGGTGAGAACGGACGGAGTGGCGGTAAACAGTAGTAAAGTGAAAGATTTGGTAAGGTCTCTCACCTGCTTGGTGACATTTCTGCTCAAAAAAGTCACAGAATGTACAGCAGTCCCAACGGCAAAAGGTTCAGTGTGGATGTGAGCGCGTGAAGTCGGTACGTTCTCCACATGTAATTCATATACAGACACTTGTTGACGCTAGCAAGGTCAATATGATGCTCTTCAAGAGGCTTTTTAGTGTTACCATTCGCAAAATGTAAACCAATACTGAAATCTTACCTACTACTGGAACGTAAGAAGAGGGGCAATAACAGAAGCATTCAAACGCTCGTTTGCTCAATGATGACTTGGGACGGAGCGATTGCGCTAGTCATTCAACCAATGCAGGCGTGTACTTGAGTTCACCTTGGGAAGGCAGCAGCACCTGTTTACTCACATCCAACCCACTGCTACCACGATGCACTACCGAAGTATAACTGTGGGACTGCACTCGCAATTCGATATCGAAACGCTGCCTGAATACCGCCCCGACCACCATAGCATTTTTGACTCTACCCTGCAATACATCGAGGACAAGACGTCAACATGCAGCGTCTACGTTCCAGCCTTACCCGGCAGTACGTTTTGGATCGGATACTCCGTGTCACCACCAGTGCCCGAAGGACACTACTTCCTCTTTAAGCTGTACATCAATGGCGCACACATGGTAAGCTGGTCGACAGGCAAAGAAGAGGAGTGGCAGGGCAAGACTATGTTTGGTCTATTTGAAAGCCCTGAGGACGAACATGGCAAGAGAAGGGTCGAGAAACGAGTGCTGTGCTTTGCAGCAAAAGACGCCGTGGACGTGTTCGACGACACCGCGCGCATCGAGATACGAGTACATCGTGCAGACGAAAGGAAGCGAGTCGAACGACAGGCAGAGGAATACAATAACACAGAGCATGCGAAGAATGGCAAGGGAATAAGGTACGCGCCAACCTAGCGCCACCACCATGTACTGCGCTAACTTTGGCAGCCTCGTTAACGCTGGGCGCGCAGGGCCGGAGCAACCAAAGCGCTTTTACAAATTTGCCCTAATCGATCCGATCGACCAGCCCTTCGCGACGTTCAGGTACTATTACCGTAGCTGGGACCAGTTGCGAGGATTGGGATTACTTGACCAACACGTCAGTGGCGCCGGCGAGGATAACGACCTTCCTGTGATAGAGCCTCGAGAAGATGATATTGACGAAGCCAAGGAGGGTACCAGAGCCTGTAGCGTTGTCAGCAAAGATTTGGGGAGCGTATTCCAGGACTGCAGTGACAACTTGAATGGACGAGCCGCTAGTGCTGCAGATACACGAGCGCAGACCCAAAACCCCCATAGTCCTATGCGATCTACATCAGCGAGGGCGCGAAACCCCTTGACTCGAAAGGCGTCGATACGTCAAGTGAGCGATACAGAACAATCGCGCGCCTATGTTCCACGCGGCGCACCCGGATTGAATAAGGAAGCATCTGTTGAGCATGTAAGCAGGCAAATGCAACAGTGCGATAGCTTCATTCGTACACCAAGCCACTTTTACCGGCTCTCGATACCACCATCCATCAAAGTCAGACGTCCAGAACCAGCTTCGCGACCTCTACCTACACTTCCCACCAAGCACGATTTCGAGGCTTCCACATCATACTGCCCTCACCCAGCGTACCCTATAGATGACTGGACTGTACGTACTCCCAGTCCGGTCAAGTCAGTTCGAGACGGCATATCCACTCCTCCACCGGGTAGACGCAAGGAACAGGGCCGCTCGACTTCTGCATTGATGAGTGCAATCACATCTGCATGGAAACGTAGAGGTACACAGACACCGGGTGGAACGATAGCGACAGAAGGTACAGAAAATGCGCGAAGCTTGCCGTGATGCTGTTAGCTTGATAGAGCTGCAGTAGGCGTCGTGATTGTGATTGCTTCAAACTGTCCGCACCGAGAACGTTACATTGGAAGTTGGATGACAGTTTCGAAAAGACGATGCTGCTGTACATTACTAAATAAACATTCGAGGTGTCATGAGGTCAGGCCGCGTAAGATGAAACGTGAGACGATTGCCGATCTGCATTATGATGCAAGGCACCACACGCTGATTCGGTCCAAGGTTCCTCCACAACCCCGCAGAATGCAGCTACCCCAAGCTCTCATCCCAGCTGATAGCTTCAATGCTGCTGCGTTCCTGCTTCCTCTGTATATACCACAACCTGTAGCTCATAGTCCCATCATCATAGTATTGAGCACATCCTCTTATTCTTCATTTTGTTCCGTCTGTTGTGCTTAATCGGCACCATGCGGCCTTTTGTTGCTGCGGCTGCGGCGCTCTTGGCAAGCGTTGTAGATGCTTCGAATCTCCAACCGCCCGTCCTTCCGTTGATTGTCAGGAATCCATATCTGAGCACATGGCTGCAGAGTGCACGAGAGGAGCCATGGAATAAATGGCCCATGTTTTGGACTGGATCTGAGGTTTGCTGGACAGAGCCACCTTAGGCGTGCAATGCTAACAATAACGCGGACAGGTCGGATTCAGTGTCCTGGCGTCTGTTCCAGACTCCAAGGAGGTATACCCACTGCTTGGTCGACCTCATGACTCTCTGGAGCACAAGGACAAAGAGTACGGGTGATCCGATGGCTTGAGGCGGATTTGTTGCTGACCTTAGTCTGTCCTAGTTACACGGTCGCGTACCCTACATACAACGGTGCTACATATGACGCGTCAACGACCAATCTTACATACTCAATACGAGCGCCTGATGCAATTCGTTCAACAAAAGACCTCGAAATCACCTTATCCTTCCTCTCACCCATTACACCAACCTCTACTCTGCGACAAACCATACCAGCGGCTTATCT